ATGGGGGGGGGGGGGGGGGCGGGCATTAAATGGAATAGTCCATATGTACCCTAGCGTCTGAACATTCGTGAATCTTCAAATTCCCAAATATAAAATAAATCATGCACAATTTTCCATCACATTAAGAGGTTTAATCCATATATTTTAATGTAATATAAATAATTCTAGGCTAGCAAAGCTACTGCTCCACATATCAGGGAGTATGTTAGATAAATCTATCACACAATGCTTTCATAATTACTGTTGAAATGAACGCCTTCCTTTGCCTTTGGGAAGCACGCTAAGGATGCTAAACTAAACACTGTAAAAACTCGAGTCTAAATTCTAAACAACATCTAAAACGGTTCAATTTCACAACATAGATTAAAAAGCAAAAACACGAAGCCCTTTTCAACTCACCATCTTCGATTTTCCCGTATTTATCAAACGTTTCATAGAGCGTATCTTGCGTCACATTCTGACTAAGACCCCCAACAAACAGCTTATTCTTTTGAGACATTTTTGACAGTATTTCGCTAATATACGCGTTAAAATTACTCCAATATTACTGCAAAACTTCTCTAGTATAAGAGGTTTATATTTCTGCAAGGTTTTAGCTTTAAAATCGTCAAAAAATCGATGATAATTTGATAAAATGCTCAACGCTTCCAAGCCGTCCACGTGAAGAAGAATCTTAAGATCGAGAGGCTTATTGCGCATGTGCAGTGACTTTTAAATAGGCAGTGATGCATTATGGGAGAAGATAGCCAGTGATCTCAGCATTTAACTGGAGTAAGGGCTGATTGGAGGGTTGATCTCAGCATGTAACTGGAGTAAGGGCTGATTAGAGGGCTTGACCTCACCATTTATTTGGAGTAAGAGCTGATTGGAGGGTTGATCTCATCGCTTGTTGATTATGGATTAAAGGCTGTGTCGTACGAGAACATTTTCAGAGCAATTTCGGATACAGAGCCATGTTAAAAAGGCCGCCTTACACTACATAACTTTTGCCTAAAACTGTTGCATGTTGCTTACAACTTGAGTTACAACGTTGGTGAGTTGTGTGCTTGATTTACACAGTACAACTCAAGTTGTAACAACTCAAACTTACTCAAGTTGTAAGCAGGCTGCATGCGACGGTTTTAGCCCAAAGTTGTGTAACTCGGACCAGTCAGTCTTTGGTAGAAATTGGAAACTTGTTTCTGAACCGAATTCACACAAGACTTTTTTCCAGCAAAGACAATCAACTTCTCTTCATTATCAGCAGAATACCAAGTATCATTTAATAGAAAAAAAGCATAAAAAAGAACTCAAAGTGAACAACATTTCTAGCTATTGTTAATGCTAACAAGAATCAATGAATGTGTGAGATGTTTTTACTAGTATACATAACAAAGACAAAATAAAAATCGCCATTTTCGTCTAAAAGTTTAGCCATCATTTAATGGTTACCAGTTTATCCGGCTGTTTACCGCCAGACGCCATATATTCGTCGTGTTCACTTTTGTCAACTTCAGTCGCCATATTGGGAATGCCATGATTACGTCAATTTATAACGAAGCTCGCCAAAGTCCTGTCGATAATAGGAAAGCAAGCAGGGAACATTAGAAATCAAACCTTTCTACAGTTGAAACGACATTGCGAGTGTGAATTTTATACATTTAGTAGACATAACCAGGAGCTGTTGCGAAAAATGCAACTATAAACCTTCTGGCAGGAATTGAACCTGTGGTCACAGAATAGAGAGTAAGGGCGCTTTCCATTTAATGGCCTGACCGGTCAGACCCGAATTTTTACCTCCGCCAGGAGGTTGTGTAATCATCTGAGTTTGTATGTGTGTGTGTGTATGTTCCGGGTTTGTATGTATGTGTGTGTGTGTGTGTGTATGTGTGTGTGTGTATGTTCTGGGTTTGTATGTATGTGTGTGTGTGTGTGTGTGTGTATGTGTGTGTGTTTGTCTGTGAGCACGATAACTCAAGAAATACCAAACATATTCATACGAAATTTTTTGAATGCATTTCCCATCGGCTAAGGAAGAACTGGTTAAAATTTGGTTGAATTTGGTTAAAAATTGAACGAGAAATGAACAAAATTTTGTCTTGCTTTTCCCGGTCAATTAAAAAAAACTCACTGAATGCGTAATTAGGACGTGTATAATGTATGCACGCAGTACTAAGACAATAATGAGATGATAAACCTCATTAAGCTTCAGTCTTCATTATCTATTGTCTTAGTTGCATTTCACGCGACCGAAATTCAATGGGGGCGGAGGTATGCAGTCTCTGAGTGCCCTCTAGTTGTCTCTGTATCAATGGAAAGATCTGGTCTATGTTTCTCAAATATCTAGCGAAAATGGACCTCATTGTAATGTTATCAAAATGTTCCAGTCAGATCCAAAGCCCAAACGTTTTGTGTTTCATTCAACAATATACCTTACCGATTATTCTCTTTTACCCAATGGCCTCGTTTCCATGTTAACTTATTTTAGCATGTCAGGGGCAGATAAAGATTATATTCCTATGTTTTCCTGGACGAATTTGTTTCTTGCTGTTCTTAGGCTCAATAACAAAGTAATTTTCAACCCTACTAAGCATAAAACATGAGTAAGTATTTGACATGAAAACGAGGCCATTGGGTAAAAGAGAATAATCGGTAAATTCTATTTGACCGTTCTGACCGGTATGGCAGTGTTAATGGAAGCGCCCTATGGGTCTTTATTCTGTAGAACTACGTGCTACATACCTCATAAGAAGTTTACATCATGTAAGCTTTAGGGATAACTCTATGTCTCTTTCTCGCCTTTGGTTTCTGATCCTCAGAATCAGAACTATCTGAACTGCTGGAGGACGTTCGTTTCTTTCCTTGTCTCGTCAGTAATCTCTGTTGCTCCACACTAGTGATCCTGTCTCGACGCACCTTTTCCCTATCCACACTGAGAATGCAGAAAAAATAATGCATGACATGACCCTTACTGAACCTCTAGGAAGAACAGTTTAGAACTGATAGAGCTATCCAGTATAAATAAAATTAGTTTAGTTTAGGTTTCCTCCTGTAGTAACACTGGATCAATAACAGATGATCCTTACTGGACCTCTAGGGAGAACAGTTTAGAACTGATAGAGCTATCCAGTATAAATAAAGTTAGTTTAGTTTAGGTTTCCTCCTGTAGTAACACTGGATCAATAAGAGATGACTCTTACTGAACCTCTAGGAAGAACAGTTTAGAACTGATAGAGCTATACAGTATAAATAAAGTTAGTTTAGTTTAGGTTTCCTCCTGTAGTAACACTGGATCAATAAGAGATGATCCTTACTGGACCTCTAGGAAGAACAGTTTATAACTGATAGAGCTATCCTGTATAAATAAAGTTAGTTTAGTTTAGGTTTCCTCCTGTGGTAACACTGGATCAATAAGAGATGATCCTTACTAAACCTCTAGAAAGAACAGTTTAGAACTGATAGAGCTATCCAGTATAAATAAAGTTAGTTTAGTTTAGGTTTCCTCCTGTAGTAACACTGGATCAATAAGAGATGATTCTTACTGAACCTCTAGGAAGAACAGTTTAGAACTGATAGAGCTATCCGGTATAAATAAAGTTAGTTTAGGTTTCCTCCTGTAGTAACACTGGATCAATAAGAGATGATTCTTACTGGACCTCTAGGAAGAACAGTTTATAACTGATAGAGCTATCCAGTATAAATAAAGTTAGTTTAGTTTAGGTTTCCTCCTGTAGTAACACTGGATCAATGAGAGATGATCCTTACTGGACCTCTATGGAGAACAGTTTAGAACTTCTAGAGTTATCCAGTATAAATAAAGTTAGTTTAGTTTAGGTTTCCTCCTGTAGTAACACTGGATCAATAAGAGATGATCCTTACTGGACCTCTAGGAAGAGCAGTTTAGAACTGATAGAGCTATCTAGTATAAATAAAGTTAGTTTAGTTTAGGTTTCCTTCTGTAGTAAGTAGTAGTAACACTGGATCAATAAAGGAAGATTCTTTTTTCTCTGTTTACGAAGACTGCTAGCATAATGCCTTCTTAACCAAACGTTTTCTCAAATTTTTAGGATCTTGAAGGAAAGTCGGTGGTTGACGAACTCACCCAAGACGTAGTCGGAGCAACTGGCAAAATCGTCGCCCCAGATTGCGTTTCCCTCGCCTGGTCAGCTGACGGTCAGACGTTGTTTGCAGGGTATACGGACAATGTCATACGAGTGTGGCAGGTTACCCGAGCTTAGAGTGTGTAAAGTGCATGAGTTTTGTTTGGGAAGATAAAATATAATAGAAAACTGGCTCTTTAGTTGTTTTATTGTTTTGTTTTGTGGAAAAGCACTGCGTTTGTTTCTTTGGTAATATACTGTGGCCGTTAGCTCGGTGTTTTTCAACACTCACAATATAGACCGCATATGCATAATGACGTCACAAGCTTGATGCCCGCGAGGAATTCTGGTCTTAGTAGTCATCGCCCGGGAAAATTTCGATAGTGGCCATTTTGAATTGTTTAATTTTGCCGGGCGACGACTATTAAGACCAGCATTCCTCGCAGGCACCAAGCCTTGCGACGTCATTATACATAAAGGCCTGATTCCACGGCCGCTTTTTCTCGGCGAAATGCGAAATATTTCGCCTGTTTCTTTTGAATTGTGGGCAATCAAGTAGAAATAATTTATTCGAGTGGTCGCAATTCAAAAGAAACAGGCGAAATATTTCGCCGAGAAAAAGCGCCCGTGGAATCAGGTCTTAAGGTCTTTTGTCGCAAAGCTTTGAAAAATATTTCAATCCACCTTCGGGTTGGGATAAAATACGGATACGGAATTGCGGAAGTCCATTTTTGTACCAGAAACTGGGTCCCTGTTAGGGGTCGAAGCTCTTCAAAAAAAGGGTAAAGTCCATTTTCCACTAGGCGAATTTGTTCGCGCGAACAGTAAAAAAATAGGAACTGATCCAATTTTTTTTCTGACCATTCACGTTTCCAAGATTTGTTTTTCGTTTCGCGCGAACAAATTCGCCTAGTGGAAAATGGCCTTCGTCACGAGATTTGACAAATAATTTTGAACGATATTCCTCGTCAACTGACGCTGTCCGATTTTTTATTTTCGATCTAGGGGCAACATGCAAGCAATTCGTGTCTGTACCTATGGTCTGTACGCATAGAATAATATGCGTATCATTAATATTCACAGCAAACCCCAACTATAACCTCATTCCCAGGCTGTAGTGGAAAGAGCCTGGGTACGAGATTGACTATAACAGACTGTCATGGACCATTGAATTTTGATTAAATTGTTAGTAACGATGATTTGTTACTGTTGGGGTTTGTCTGTTAAGACGTGGTACCCGATAAGCATTTTCACTGAACAAATATCTTCTATTAAAATTCTTGTTACACCACAAAGCTTTTCGCGCGGATTATACTTCGCGCAGTACTAAAATTTGCGCACCCAGCGCTGCGCGAAATCTTACTGTTCGGTACTTCGGTAAGTAGTAAAAGCAGTAATTGTTTGCCCATAATACTACGCGGGAAAATGCGCTAATTACATCGAAGTACACGTGATTTGCAGGTATAAAGCAAAACATTTACGCGAACACTACTATACAGTGTTTCGTTCGATAATTTAGATATTTTAACATATTTAATTATTAGAAGACCTAAAGTCTCGCGAAATAATGCAAATGATTGAGTTCTAAAACGATGGATCAACGTGGTGAAGCGGTTACCCCCGCCCCCCGAAAACATATTGAAATTTAATGTTCCAGGAGGGTGAATGCCTCTCTTTAGGGCTCTGTTCTCCTGCAGTTATGGTGTTATTCCCAACCCCCCCCCCGTGTCATTTTAAAATAGCTCGGAATTGGTCGACTTGCATCGTACAGTTGCCGAGATCCCGACGGAGTCTCGGGAATTTCCGAATTTTAAAATTTTACCGCAAGAATGTCGAGAAGCAAGGAAGAAAAACAGAGGACATTTTTTATCAATTTCACCTTTATTGGAAGGTAATATGTTTTATTTAATATCAATCCTTGTAGTAGAGTACTTAGATTGCCAATATAGATGGAAATTTAGGACATCGAGCCCGAATTTAATGCGATATTTCGGCATAAAGTTTGTGCTTTTGCTTTGCACGTGGCTCGCTTCATGGGCGATTGTCGAACTTTAAACCGTATTTTAGTTCGTAATTATTGTCAATACTGTAGACCAAGTGAGTAAAAGGACTAATTAAGATCTGGAATTGTTTAAGTTGTCGAAAAAACTTGTTATCTCTGAGTTGTTGCCGAAAATGTTTGTATTAAATGCCGTATACCGAGACCAGGCGCTTGGTGGGTAATTTCATCAGCTTGTACATTTTAACAATCTTGCGACAAAATGTTTTAACAATATGCTGTTTTTGTTCATTTATAATAATTTTGCAGAAAAAACCTAGCTTTAGCAACATTACAACGTATTTGATTCTTGCTTGCAAAACAAAAAATTGAAAATAAAAAAAAATTTAATTAAAAATAAAACTAAGTGAAAATTGCTACAATAAGGCAAAATCCAGAATTGTGTTTGTTGACGTCACTGCAGACTGGTATAAATTTTGATAGTAAAAGGCCATGAGGTGCGACTATGGGTAGGTGGGGCTTTTCGGCAAGCGGGTTAGTAAGATTAATTTAAACTTCTGAGGGTGGGAAGCATGGGTGGATTTACTGGTGGGTTAGGGCCCTAGAATCTCTCTAGCTCCTCTTATAAAGTGTTGAACCCCACCAAAATTTTGCTTCACTCCTCCTATTTTATGTAATAGTCTTTAACCCTAACGCCTGGCGAAGCTCAATGCACCAGCAGCAGTGTAAAGCCTTTTTTCGACATGGGCTGTTGAACTTAAAAGCATATTTAACTTGATTTATTGGTACAGTGGATGCTTGGAGTCAAAATGAAGTTGAAAAAAATTTCAATCAAATTTCAATGTTTCCAATTCATCCGCATTTTTCTGATCATTTTTGAACATTACAAAAAATAGCAAAGAATATGTGGTTCAGAATACAAATTTTCTTCAAATATTTTTGGCTTGACATCGGTCAGCAATTGCTGTGATCAGTTGGCATTGCCATAACATATAAACATTTCAAGAAACAATAACTGCACGGGCAACAGGCATCAAGTTACATCATAAAGCAAACAACAGAAAATAGGGTAGGCAGGTAAGCGAACAACTCATGATCAACCACATCTAGAAAAACATTAGGGCAGACAAAATAGGGTTGGCTGGAAAACCGGAACCACAGGATATTGTTTTGTTTCAGGCTCTATTCATATTGAGCTTTTCATCTCGCTAGCCAAGCTATTCACATCCTCAGTAAAATTCTCAGAAATGTTTGTAGATGCACAGTGCAAGTTCCAAGAATGTCGCAAGCCTTTGCCTCAAGACCTCATGATTACGAAAAATGGGCACATTCCAAGATCCTAACAGAGGTAAATGATTTTTCTTCTAATTATTTGAATTTATTTCTGACCTCCTTATATTTCTTGGAAAATTTTCTTTGTAATATATTAATTTGTTTCATGTTCTCAACAGTGAGTTTTTAAAATGTTCTAGATTGGTGTTGCAATTTCCAAGAATGTCTCAAGTTGTTGGCTGAAGTGTTTTGGATCACAAAAATGAACACCGTTATTGGAAAGTATATAAAAGGTCTTAATATTTTCCTGTCTTATTTTACATGAAATGCTTTGAACATTATATGATCTTTCTTGTGATCAGTAGTTTCAAAAATCCCAGCAGAATATATATTGCAAAAATAGCATGACCATCTTACTTGTGACACAAAATACAACAAAGATAACAATCTTTATTCCTAAATATGGGTGAGTGCACAATGATTAAACTCTTTTTATTCTATAAGTACACCATTATTTCGATTTGTATTATTTTGGAAAGTTTCAGTTTTGTGGTCCCTCGATTACTTGATTAAGTTTTGTGTTGCCACCAATCACAGAAAGTCTATAATTTTCAAAGCATATAAGCATTTTATGAGCAAGCCAGAAAATGACAAACTGTCTATATTTTGAAAAATTGTGTTTAACAGTGACGATTCTGTTCGGCATCCCGGCTAAATCTTAAAGTACAGAAGATATAAATTTCTGTTTATCTTTGTTCTATCTGAGAACATAGTTGTTTCTACATATTTCCAAAGTTTTTGTCAAATATGAAAAAATGAAAAGTTTGTCATTATTTGGCTTTGTTACATCAGTTAATTTAAACATTGAGAAGATTGAGGTGGTTTTTATTAGAAACCAAAGCGGTTACTTACAAATAAGACTTGTGACTTTATTATTTTTAATTCAGTATTAAGTATTTTCCTAGTCATCTTTCATGTTTCAGTATTAATTTGGAGTATATTTTCATTAAAAATTGAAAGAACATTGATTAACATTTGTCTCATCGTAATTTGTGTTTTGAACTTATCGAAGTACATTGTGAAAACAGTAAAAAACAGTAACTCATCTCAATCTTCTCTTGTTTAAGTAGACTTTCAGTGTTTGTTGAAAGTTTGGAAAGTTCATCTGAAAATCACAATGTTTATTTCAATGTTGATTCTGGACGTTATTCGAGTCTTCAAATATTGAATCTTAGAAATTTAAGCAATTAGTGATCAATTGAAGTATACAATACTTTTAAAGTTAGCACTGTTAGAACTGCCTCGCTGTTTAATAGTCCTGTCTTATTTATCCCAGCACACTCTTAATACATGAGTTTGATTATTCCTGGATACAAATAAAATGGATTTGTTGAGGAACAAGGCAGTTCTATACAGTACTGACTTATAGGAGGGTTGTATTCTTCAGTTGTTTTTTATTTTTGTGCCAACCGGTTGTGGCTATCAACAAAAATTTGAGTTGCGGAACAAACTTTTCTGATTTTCAAAAAACCTTCCCAACTTTAAAACAAGCAGTTAAGGCCGAAATAGGCTAGGATATTGCCTTTACTTCATTACAAAGTGGAACTTATTTGAATTCGGATGAACTGAAGCAGCAAACTATACTTAATTTGGGGGTAATGTGAGATGGAAAAAATAAAAGAAAATTGATTGTCATGCATGGCAAGGAAAACCACTACCAGAATACAGGATGATGTTAGGGAAGGAAAAACAATCAGCATTCAAAAGTATATATTAATTGTTTGGTAAAGCAATCAATAATTGGAATATTGAGGTTAAAGATGAGATCGACAGTTCTTTGTGCTAGGTGTTAATCTACAGTATTCACAATTTGATAAGATTTGAATCAAAATTCAAGCACGGAATTAACCGTATTTTTAGTATTATCAAAGTTTGTCTGTGTTTCTTCGCACACAAGATAGACAATGACAGAGATTCTCTTTATGTACGGTACCAAATTTTATCTGAATAAAAAGTTCTATATTTTAAAATTATATTTTTTATTTAAATTAACATATTTAAAGTGAAGTTTTTAAGCTTGAATTTCATATTTTATTTTGAATCAGATCCAATTAATTAATTTCGTGCTTTGGTCTGGATACTGAAATGGCAAGATTTATTTTATAATTTTTTATTGGCTGGTTGTGGTTAATAACTGTTTGGCAAATTTAAAATTAATTTGTTAGTTTTGTATGTTTACATCTATTTCTTTTGCTTCAGTTCAACATTATTTTCAAATAGTTTGACTTTGTAATGGTGTGTTTTAATAGTCAAAATAATAATATAAGAAAACAGGTTTACATGGCACTCGAACATGGTCTTTTCAACGAGTATGTGAAGGTAAGTTTATACTTCAAAAAGGTCTGTTTTTAACCTGACAAGAATGCTGTCCAAAATGAACTAAAACTCAATCTTTGTGACCTTTCAGTGACTGTATATATCTTTTGTTGTTTGTGTTTGGTTTGCTTTAATGTTGATACTACAAATTGATGAAAATGCAATATAATATTTTGTTTGTTGAGAGAGATTCTAAGGATTGTATGGAACCCCATTGTTCTTTGTGAGGACTTGAGCCAAACTGTTTGTCTACTTTTGAGTTAGCAAAGTATACCCAAAACTTATTTCCTGTTTTTCATTATGCAAAACAATAAGCTCTTTTCCAATTGAAAATTTCCTTTTCGTTTTGACCAATATAAAGAAAAGTGTTAAAAAATAAGAAAATATTTTATGAACGTTTGAAAGATTGGTTCAACCATATTTTGTTGTTTCTGTATATTGTCGCTACGTGTTTTATAAAATATATATAAATAATATAAAACAGGACTTTTCCTTACGTGAAATTCAGGAGATGCTTGTTTGCAAAATAGTGGATCAATGTGTATCATTTTATTGAATTTATTAAGGACGAGAATTGTACCATTTTCTTAAGCAAAGCAAATTCAAACTGAATTTTTTTCCCGAAAAATCAACGAGAATTCGAGAAATGACATTCTTTTAAAATTTTGTTGAACTGCATTTTCATCACTTGAATTAGTATTAACATTATATATAATCAAAGTTGTCAGGTTAAAAACGACGCTCAAAGATATATGGCTCCAAAAGACCGGGATAATTTCAAATTTTAAAATATTTCTTGATTTGGCACTTGAGAAAAATGTTCTTATATATCGGTTCAATTGAGTATGGAACCAATGATCTAGTCGTAATGTTTCGATGTTTGAAAATATCATTTCTGAGTTTAATGAAGTATACTGTCAATGCATTTGTGGAAATTAAGACACTTTGAGGAAATTAATTTGCTTTAAGCAATACAATTTGTTATCAACGAAGAATGTCTTGCCAACCACTTTAGTACACAACTGATTTCGCACTACAATGGGCTTCACTTAGCATCGCGATAAAATCATTGTTTTCCATACTCAAGTGAAAATTTTGGTCAACTTAGCAAAGACACTTAATTCGTATCCAAAAAAGTAAAAGCATGTTCGATTTACTTTGTCCTTTGAGCCATATATTTTCTTTGTAAAACAACCTGGTGTTACGCTTTCGATTTCTCCGTCAGACTCGTAACATTTATCATTAGAGTTGTTTTACAATATTTATTTTGAAGTATAAACATTTATCTTGAAAAGACCAGGTTCTCTTGTTTCCTGAAGAATTAACTTTTTTACTGTTAATTTGCGGGCAAACAAGTTTTTAATGTTGTGTTTTCACTTGTGCTTATTCACTTGTGTTGAACACAATGTTAATTGTTCTCTTTGTGCCATGTTCTGTTTTCTTCTATTGTTATTTAAATAAGTATGCAGTGGTTGTTCTCTTTTTATTGTTATTCAAATTGTAATATTTACAAGTTCTTTTCAATAAATTGTTCATTAATTATACATTCAAGAGGCTCCTTTTTAATTAAAAGTTCAATTCCCATGGGAATTGAAAAAAAAAATAAAAAAAATTCCCCTACCCCGGCCGGCTCCCCAAGTACTACCTCTACTTCAAGCAGAAGTACTTCTACTATGTAGATAGAAGTACTTCTACTTAAAGTAGAGGTAGCACTCGGAGAGCCAGCCGGGGTAGCGGGGCAAAGAGAAGACCAACCTTGCAAATGCTAATGCAAATTGCTAGGTTGATCTTCTCTTGAGAGCAGCCACGCGCATACCTAGCAAATGTAAAACAACAAGCATTAGTAACAAATACTCGGCATGCAAATTTTGAATCCCATGGCCGAAATGACAAGTGCCCCCCACTGATTCCTACCAACTGCCTACCTGCCTCAATCCTAAGCTGTCTGCCTCGGTCCTAAGCTGTCTGCATTCCATTCGTAACTTCCGCTTTCCTCACCATCACACAGACACTCACAACTGCCCAACCTGCCACCAGCCCGAACTGCCCACCCTTAAAACTGAAGGAATTAAAATTTTGGTAAAGTATACATAATTAATTTAATTATTCGGATATTTTAGGCCAAACGCAAACAGATAAATTAAAGGTTGATTAAGAAAGACCGCGTATACAAACAGGTGAGTTTCTTATTTGCCTCTACATGAAAAATATAGCTAGAAAAATATACGAAACCCTGGAATTCGGATTTTTCGTTCTATATGCTGTACAAGGAGATAATAATTTTAGTTTAAATAACGAAACTCGACAAATTTTACTGATGTTTTAGGAAATTAGTCATTTTATTCAGAGAAGATTTCTCTTTAGATATGCTCTCAAAATTTTAATTCCTTTAGTTTAGCCTAACCCCATGCATCCTATACACACGGCGCACACTCTCGCACTCCATACATTTAGCTAATAAATTACGTTATAAACAAAAAAGCGAAATAAAAAGATAAATTACGTTATCACTAGCTATCCTATAACCCACTTAGACTGAGTTTTGGATTCTGGTTCGAAACGTAAAATCTTAACTGAAAGGGCATGGGCTTGAGTTTTGTTAACTGGTCCGAAGTAAATACAAACCTTAAACTTACCTAAGCCAAATTAAGGCTCGATTAAATAAGCATGAGAATGCATAGAATTGTTTTTAAAAAATTTTCATGAGAGTTCAAAATCCAAACGAAAATTACAATGTCGCTAATTTAGTGACCATATAGTACTGTTTATCTATACAGTTGAAACAGATCGAAATAGACTTAACCGCAATTCTCATACTCATTTAACCCGAACGCCTTGATGATCATTTGCATGGCACGTCGCAGCTGCTCTCAAACCCACAAGTAACAAGATACTTATCATATTTAATCAAAGAGGATTCATTATAAAGTCAAATTTCCACTATGAAATCAACATCAACATGAAAACAAAGCATGGTATATTCCCCTGGGAATTGAAAATACGGAGAAAAAAATAAAATTGCAAAGTACTTTACGCTTGCGCAAAATCAAAAGGAAATTAGCATAAAGACAGTATAGTATATTCCCATGGGAATTAAACGCACGAAAAATGAATCCACCAATTCTTAATTTTTTAAAGCTTGAAATAGGGTTGCTTGTTTTCATCGTATGTTGATTTCATTGTGAAAAAAAGACTTATCCCATAGTTAACAGAATATAAACATGAATATAGGGACAGCAAATGACAGTGATTTTATTATCAAAACCAACTAACGATGAAAAAGAAGAAATGCTTGGTGCTAGATTCCAAGCCATGTTTATTTTACATCAACTATGGGTGACGCGGATTAATATTTTGTTTTCAGAAAAGAGTACAATCGAAAATATTCCAGGCAAGATTTCGTGCTTTTAAGGTTTGTTGATTCAATTTTTTATACAAACAGTTCTCCACCAATTTTGAGGAAAAAACTTTAAAACTTACGAAATGATGTTACCAAACAGACTCTAGCTCATCGAAAAAACACTGGGTTATCGCGTTTTTGAAAGTTTTACCCAAACCTTTTACCTGATTTTGAGCGCAATTATTTCTATACTCCGAAAATTGTAAAACGAAGTCGAAAAATTTGCCAAATCGTAGCGTGCTTAAATTCAATGAGAAAATCGTTGTATTCACTTGAATCCCCTTTGATCTTTCAATAAGTATTTTGTCTTTAACTAACTTACATTGGTAAATTTTTTCGCTACTTTCATATTAGCAATGTTGTGGTTTCTGATTGTTGCGAATCGTCATTCTTTTCTTGGCTCCATGCCGTTCGTGAGTGGCTCGTTTTGGTCTTTCCATCATCTCTCACACATTTCATCACATTAAAATTTCATCACGTCACCTTCTGAAATTTAAAAAAGTATCCATGAGTCCATGAAATGGGATCGAATCATGTTATTAAAGGCTTGAGTTATGTAAGTTGCCAGGATTTTTTTATCAAATATCAGGTCTCACAATCAATTTACCAAATTATCGGAGACCAAAAATTACCGTTGATATTTTAGGCTTCGGCACCAAATCCCATAATAACAATTTTAAATTGCGTGGTAATATTAATTGATAATTTGAAACGTGAAATATTAATGTACATAATTAATATGTCGATGACAGCCTAGACCTAGTCCCTTCACTCGGCAAGTTTTGGTCAACTTTGGGCTAGCATTTGGTAAGTATGACGTCACATGCTTTCGCCCATCCTCCGCCTCGCCCCTAAAGCGCGTGGGTCCCAGTCTTCCCGTGTGAAAAAGCACCGAAATTAAAATTAGAAGGTCGTATAGGTGCAGGCCATAGATATAGGAGATCTAGATTGCTAACGCATACCTAGCGCAGGCGGGGCCTACATGATAAATCCAAGATGGCGATACAACAGGGCAAAAAGACTATAAATTCTATTACGAAAATCAGGATTTTTGCATTTTTTGCCATCGCATTGTTTTGAAACTTATTCGGTCAAATTTTATGGTAAAGAGAAACTTACCGCGAAGATTTTGAGCATATATATGATTGAATTGGATGAAAACTCGCAAAATTATCCATCGATAAAAGTTCGTGTATAGTACTGATATAGTACTATATATGTAACTTGTACAGTTTTGCTTTAATTTTTGCTCACTATTTGCATAGAAAGCAAATTATAACAGACCATAGATGATAGACCCTTATCCAGTGCTCTCATCAGTTTACTTCTCTAACAAGCAAGGAGGGGTGGGGGGGGGGGGGGGGTACATAACAGTTCATTTTTCATAATTATGAGGACAGAGCAGATGATGATGAGAGATGCAAGTATAAAACACCATTCACAATGCTAGATGTTAACATAGCACAGTATTTCTGGCAATAAAACGCTCCAACTGACCAACTGACCATTTCACACGAACTTTTATCGCTGGATAATTTTGCGATTTTTCATCCAATTCAATCATATATATGCTCAAAATCTTCGCGGTAAGTTTCTCTTTACCATAAAATTTGACCGAATAAGTTTCGAAACAATGCGACGGCAAAAAATGCAAAAATCCTGATTTTCGTAATAGAATCTATAGTCTTTTTGCCCTGTTGTACCGCCATCTTGGATTTATCATGTAGGCCCCGCCTGCGCTAGGTATGCGTTAGCAATCTAGATCTCCTATATCTATGGTGCAGGCTGATGGAGTGTTTCATGTGACGTCACGGCAACCATGTTGGAGGGCAATAGAGAGTTTTGGCAACCCAGAACGGCAACGACAACGGCAACGGGGAAAGTATAATTGCTTATATTGTTGTATTTGAGCCAAAGTATACGTTACTACACTTAATTTGCCTCTTTATAAGTATTCCTGTTTCTTTCAAACGTACCCTTAAGGAAAAATAGTCTGCGAATTCAAATAAAACACCTCAAATTACATCGAACGAATTAACTGTTGCCGTAGTCATGCACCGTGAAAATGTGCAAATCACGTACTAGTTTCAACAACTACGGCATTGCACAACGCTTAAGACCATGTAATTTACATTCGCCTTTGTCTTTGAGGATTAATGCTTTTGTCGATGACCATATTGCTGTTGCCCTTGTATTTGCAAAACTCTCTAATATCCAGTAGCGGGGACTAAGGATAGGAAGAATTTGTTTTGTTGTTGAAACAACAAAAAGGTAGGAATATTGTCTGCGCTCGCGTCAAAATTGGCGCGGTAAACAGATAGGAGACCTGGGGAGGGGAGATGTAACATTTGATTTTTGAGCGTTTATTTGTTTTTTTGGTGTAGTTTTTTCTACTGACAAAATATTGTTTCAATACTTGGTTGGGAAGCAGGAAAGGTACGCGAAAGTTTGGAAACAAAAATGGATAAAAATCAAGGTTTTAGATAACTTTATAAGTCGGCTATCAAAAGTACTTCGACTAGTGGACTAAGAAAGGTCCAGTACATTTTTGCGAAAACGAATTTATATTTTTGCGAATCTGCTGTTCACCAGAAACGGCCAGAAAAGAACTCAAAAACTTGTTGTTTTAAAAAGATTTTTTTAAGGAATTTTTCGAATGCACCTAAAATTATTGACCATCGCGGACAAAATTCCTACCTGTTGAAACTTGAGATAAGAATAGTGCATGATACTTAAATACCGAAACAACGTTTTGGAATTATAGTTTTTTAGGAAAGGGCATTTGTACGATTTTCTAGTGCAAATTGAAAAACAACATGTACGAGTGAGTTTTTCAAAGACGATCGAAATTACATGAGTTTGAAGTACGAGTGCAATTTGAAGTCTTTGAAAAACTCACGAGTGTATGTTTTCCAAATTGCTCGAGAAGCCATACTATTACTTATTAATAATGTACAGGAAAAAATTATGCAGAAGCAAATTCGTTGTCACTTCCAAGCACGAAACACATACGAAGTAAACCATTTACCCACCCATTTTAATGACCCAACAACTTAATACAAGATTTCAACTGTCAGCACTCGAAATGTGTTTTGTTTTGGCGTTTTCAAAGTATTTCGTTTTAGCATTGTATTTTCTTTTCTTTTCTGCCACTGTGTTTTGGTCAGAATCGAGAAAATTTTTCATGTATATTATTAGGTTTGAAAAAGCGAAAAATTCCTGCGTGCATGTATTTCAAAAGTTTTATAACATCACTTACATCTATATTAATCACTTTTGCATTTTCGTTGTTTCTGTTGATCGGGCATCGTCGTTTTGTTGATGGGTCCATGTCATCTACCATTCCTTCATCTGGCAATTCAATCGTGTATTGTCTTTGGTTGGATGATCTAGTTGTCTTCACTTCGCATTTGTCTTCTTTCCGTACAAGCTCGTAGGATGTTTGATGTAAAATTTATTTTCCCTGAAGGGTAAATAAACATTTATTTGAAACAGTCATTTTATGCAAAATTTTTGAAATAGTTTTTTCGGTTCTTAATGAGAAACGGTTAAAAATCGCTCGAATCATTTTTGATTTTCTCTTACCATGATAAATCTTGCGTTACGCTCATCTTGCATGGCTATGTTGTAGGATCTGTTGGTTGTAGGTCTTCATTTGTTGGTCGTTCCATCTTGCGCACTCTCGTTGGATTCCTCTTCACACCATACAAAAACCTAGATTTTGCAAATGAAAGGATATTTCCCATTAGTAACAAAATAGATTGAATATATTACTACACATGTTACAGGAAACATTTAGTTAATATACTTTTAAAGATAGGAATGCCAAATGGGTGCAGCATATCCAACAGAAATAAAGGAAGAACTGAGTAACAGCGGCTGACACCGGTAGGAGCAGGGGGTCAACTCCCCCCCTCTCAATAATTTCTGAAAGCCTTCGAATGATTGCTGAATAACTGTGTAACAAAGCTGTCGTAATAATTTTTCAACCACGAATTTTTCATTCAAGCTATATGTATTGCGTGAAATTAAGGCAAAGAAGATAATTTCATTGAGATTTCCAGCTACAGAAGGTGGTCATATGATGTTGGCAATCAAATTCCCTTGCCCCCAATACTTCGCGAAGTGTCCGCTACGGCTGAGTAAGATAATAATAAAATAAATGGACAGGAAACTAGCTGACGTGACCTAATGTTTTCCATTGGCTGATGGCGTGATTGGATGTTGAAACCTAGTTGCAAACCAAATTCTCAAAAACGGCATATTTACCAATATTGCAACTAAACATTTTAGTCAAAGAGCAAATGAATATAACTACGCCATTCTACGATGAAATCTCTAAGTATTCCCAGTCAATTTTAGCAAATATTTCAAGCACTAAACAGTGAAAAAGGCATCCCAAATTTCGTTAAAATTGGGGACGCCAATTTCGTAGCTACAAATGTAAAAAAATACAAAACAAAGACGAAAAACATTTAGGCATGTTTTTAAAACAATTAGACCAGTATATATATATTTAGAAATTTAGAAATTTATATATATATATATGGAATATAAAAAATAATATAATAATAATAATAATAATAATAAAATAATAATAATATATAATTTTAATATATATATATATGCTTCAATTTTACTCTTTTAAAGCGGAAAGTATAGCGAAACAACAAAAATGCCGAGAACTTTGCAATACGCGTGACGTCACAGATTGCAACTAGGTTGTTTTTACTCACGTCAGCTAGAGTCCTATCCATTTATTTTATTATCTATGGTAAGAGTAATAGGGTGTAGCAATCAACGTGAGTAATAGTCTCCGTGGCTTTGGGCAAAAATATTTAAATGATTGCATAAATTACACCAGCAAAACTTACATTCACTGTATCTTTACATCGTTGTTGCTTCTGTTTTGTTGGTCGCGATTTTTCATTTTTGTTGATGATCCATCACGGTCCCCTCAATTTACAGTGAACCACCATAAAAAATGGAGAAAAATTCTGTTAACAAGGACAACGATAGAACTTGCAAATGGATTTGAACGCTACATTTGCTAAACTTGAAGTGTTATAAAAGAATACAAAATCCGGGTGAAAATAAAATGCGGTGGCATACCTAATGAGTAAAAAATAAAAAATAAACAGAATTCCCCCAATTGTATAGAACATAAATAACAGTGACAAACCGTACATTTGCTATCATCTTTGGATAGTTGTGGCTTCTTTTGGTCGTCATTCTGTCGACGTCTTCTACCACTTTCTCATCTGCTTGTTCCTCTTGGATCGTCCAGTTGTTGCGTTCATATCACTCTACCAAAAAAATGCAATAAAAATTTTAGGAAAAATTGTAAGAAGAAATGGCAAGAGGAAATTTTACGATGTAGGGCAGAATTTTTGAACAATTGTTAGTTGTTGAAAAACAACTATAGTATCATAGGCAACCCAGCTAATATATGTATTCATTAAAGAATGCGTTAAAAACATTTAAAAGTGCCCATAAAGGTTCACCTGATTTTGCTATCTAGCGCTTTATTGTGTAGCTCATTATATATGCAGACTCGCATGGCTACGTCATTGTATTGTCATATAGTATAATATCCTGATGTAAATTTCTAAGAAAAAGCAGATACAAAACACCTTGGATATATTTTCTAAATTTATTAATACTTTTTAGAGCTGAAAAAAGTTTTAGAAGTGCTTAAATTTCTTAAATAAAAAGTTTTTTTATCGAAATTATGCTGTAGATATACGGGATATACAAATTGCTCGACAAACGTCATCATCGGAAAAACCATCGGCTTATTTCTTATTGGCTGCTGAAAAATCGGAAAATTCCGAAGAAAGTTTATTGATTGCGGTATATTATATCCGGAATTTTCCGATTGTTCAGCAGCCAATAAGAAATAAGCCGATGGTTTTTCCGATGAAATTGTTCAGCAGCCGATAAGAAATAAGCCGATGATATTGTTCAGCAGCCGATAAGAAATAAGCCGATAGTTTTTCCGATGATGACGTTTGTTGAACAATTTGCATCCTGCCTATCTACAACAAAATTTCGATGAAAAATAACTTCTTTTTTTTTAAAGAAATTTCAACTCTAAAAAGTATTAATAAATTTAGAAAATATAATCCATGGTGCTTTGTATCTGATTTCCCCCCAGATATTTGCGTTACTTTTGTTGTTTCAAACGACTGTATTAATGGACGTAAATGTATTGTGTCAAAGAGTTGCCAGCCTTAGGATATTATACTATATGACAATACAATGACGTAACCATGACCGGTTTGCATACATAATGAGCTATACAATAAAGCGCTAGATAGTAAAGTCGGGCGAACTTTATGCACATTTTTAAATGTTTTTAACGCGTTTATACATATAAGTTGAATACATACATTTAGTGAATACATAATTTGCTGGGTTGCCTATGCTAGTATCTGAATTATAGAAAATACTACCCGAAGAGCATAAATTTTTTACCAAAAATGACGTCATTGCCGTTGTTATGGTAACCATACGTTTCAGTATGACCGATGTTTTGCTTTTGAACTAATTTAACTAATTAAAAAACAACAATGGCCTCGATTTTTTATTTTGTTAAAACGTTTTCAATTCCTAAAAGTAATTAATTAGCCATCTTTCGGGGGGGTCGCCAGTGTAGAATTTTTTAAATCGCAAAAACACGAAAAATCTACTCTGCGAATATTTTTGAAAGTTGTCTAAATAATTATTTTTGCTAATCAAACCACCGTTCTTTTTTTCGAATTAAATTAGTTTAAAGTCAAAGAAAATCGGTCATATTAAAAAGCCACGGCTACCATAGCAACGGCACTGACGTCAATTTTGAATTAGTATTTTCTACAGCTCAGATACTATTTAATTTTTTATTCGGCAAGTAACAATTGTTAAAAAATCCACCCAAAATCGTAAATTTTCCAGCTGCAAAAAACAGTAGGGAGCCACCTTAAGAAAGATATATATCTGCCGTATTGAAACGTCATGGTCATCATGGCAACGTACGTTTTGGGAGGCGTTAATTTCGCTTAATTTTCATCCATCAACTTCTGAAGTCACATGCAATATATTGTGTAAATTAATTTACCAGAGAAAAAACAACTCACCATCTTCTGCTGTTCAGTTTCTTTGGCCACGGTAAATCTTGGCTTTGATAGATTCGCTACAGGAATTTAAAAAATAGCTGATTAATTTTTAGATATATTAAATCAAATAGCGACATTTTACATATAAATTAAGGCTGTGTTTTGCAGGGGGGGGGGGGGCTGTAATATAATTTCAGGGGGTAGGGTTGGATGGGTGAATTTTTTTCATCTAAGAGGGTTTATATTTTGGAGAAAAAATTGCAGTGGAACACTACTGTATCATTTAATACTAATTGTCATGTTGTGATATTGAAATGTATGCAATGAACGAATTTTTATGCATACAAAAGTAACATTTTTTAAGAAAAATAGGATAAAATATTAACGGAGTTAGTAAAAAGTAAAACATAATACTTTATATATTAAGAGTAGTTATATATTAACTTACTGTGTTGCACATATCACATAATGTTGACTTTCAACACCATTGAAGCGGTTTCGTTTCATTTTCTTGATTGGAGAAGAAGGTGTCCGCCATTTTGTCTTTGACCACCATGATTTAACATTGAAATTTCTCGATCATTTCTTCATCGTTCCTCTTCCAATTTGGCCCAAAATTTAACAAAACGTCCATTATGGTTTCGTCGCAATTTCTATAGCATTTAATTGACATTTCTTTATCTGATTTTGACAGAAAATAAGAATTTTGTCGTGGTTTTACTCGATTTCTTCAGATGTTCCGTTCCTCGAAGCCATGCTGTAACTGACGTCACAAAGCATTGATTCATGGTATATATATATATCCCGTATGTACAAAATTGAATTTTCGGTATTCCTGTTTACGAAGCCTTAAACTTAATTTCTAGCTTAAATTGAGAGTTTTTAGCTACAACTTTCAACTCAGATATTTCTTATATTTCTTTCCTTTATAGTTCATTTTTTATTTCGCTCAAAAAACGCTCCTGAAGAGCGTTTGGGTGTGTTTTTTTTATTTGCATGCTAATGTGTGCGGAAAGACATGTCCGATTTGTCGGTTGAGTTTAACTTTTCCTCCGTGGCCGAATGGTAACGGCAACTGTATTGTGAAAAGCCACGCCCTTTGGTGTTTGCTGTGGATCGTCCCTCGCTTGCGACAACACAGGGACGAACCTAAAGGGTGTGAGTGACTCTCGAAAACAGTCGCCGGTACCGATAGGCTACCGAAGGAACGTTTAAACCTTCGGTAAATTTCTTCTACTTAATCATTTACCTTATGCTTGCCAGCCGGGGACCTGCATTTCGGGGGCCACCCAAAACAACAAGCTGCCGTGCAAGAAGGGCAATACAATTGCAGTGTAACACTACAACTGTACTGTCCTTCGTGCACGACAGCAAGTCGTTTTGGGCTAAACGACTAGATTTGTAGGACAAATCTAGTCGTTTTCCAAAAAACGACTAGATTTGTCCTACTATATAGGGCCGATTTCGTTGCAATGATTGTGGTGCACTATATTTTGTTGCTTCTGCGCAGTCGTATCTTGTTGAATAAAGTTGTATATGGTACTCAAAATTTGTCCTTGAAAGGACCATGTATTCTGCGTGGTTCCGGGTTAGATTCCCAGAGCATTTTATGTACTTATATACAACTTTCTTAGCGCAACTCCATGCAAGCTATGGAGAAGCTTATGATGTAAGTTATCATGGCCGACATACCAATGACAGTAGTTTTATATAGAAGATGAAATGTATAATAAACCGCAAGGTTTGTTACTGTACATGCAGGAATTGACCGAATACTGTTGTAATCACCCAGTCACAACAACGTAAAAGTTATGGCTGTTTCTTCGATCCACATGCAACGAAGCTTTAAATGACATTATCAACATTGTCTTCGATAGAAGTCATTTATGAGGCATTCGGTTTAAGATTCCCAGAGCATGTCCGCACCATTTCCCAACTTACGATACAACTTATTACGGACGATAAACTAATAATTGAGAACGAAGTGTGAATGAAGCTACAAGGTTTAATCTTTGGATAGGAGGATAAGATAATAATTTTGAGCATGTTTCTTGTGATATTTAACCGTGACAAATTACAATACTTGAGTTATCGAGCATGTATAATATAGTCTATACTATTAAGTATAGTTAAATTTCAATATGAACAGACATTTTACTCGAGGCGTTTAATAGCGCAACCCGTGTATACCATTTCGCAACTTACGATACAACTTATTACGGACGATAAACTAATAATTGAGAACGAAGTGTGAATGAAGCTAGAAGGTTTAATCTTTGTATAGGAGGATAAGATAATATTCCAGAGCATGTTTCTTGTGATATTTAACCGTGACAAATTACAATACTTGAGTTATCGAGCATGTATAATATAGTCTATACTATTAAGTATAGTTAAATTTCAATATGAACAGACATTTTACTCGAGGCGTTTAATAGCGCAACCCGTGTATACCATTTCGCAACTTACGATACAACTTATTACGGACGATAAACTAATAATTGAGAACGAAGTGTGAATGAAGCTAGAAGGTTTAATCTTTGTATAGGAGGATAAGATAATATTCCAGAGCATGTTTCTTGTGATATTTAACCGTGACAAATTACAATACTTGAACTATCGAGCATGTAGACGATACAGGTATAGTTAACTGGAGTAAAACGAGTGTTCAGTTTGAAATTTAGTTATGTTCAACTTTACTTCTATATACAGAGTTTGCAATAAACAGGCCTCCATATATGCTAGAAAACTCAAATATTATAATTTGTGCCGGTTAAATATCACAAGAAACATGCTCCGAATTATTATCTTATCCTGCTATCCAAAGATTAAACCTTGTAGCTTCATTCACACTTCGTTCTCAATTATTAGTTTATCGTCCGTAATAAGTTTATCGTAAGTTGCGAAATGTTGCGGACATGCTCTGGGAATCTTAAACCGAATGCCTCATAAATGACTTCTATCGAAGACAATGTTGATAATGTCATTTAAAGCTTCGTTGCATGTGGATTGAAGAAACAGCCATAACTTTTACGTTGTTGTGACTGGGTGATTACAACAGTATTCGGTCAATTCCTGCATGTACAGTAACAAACCTTGCGGTTTATTATACATTTCATCTTCTATATAAAACTACTGTCATTGGTATGTTGGCCATGATAACTTACATCATAAGCTAGCTTCTCCATAGCTTGCATGGAGTTGCGCTAAGAAAGTTGTATATAAGTACATAAAATGCTCTGGGAATCTAACCCGGAACCACGCAGAATACATGGTCCTTTCAAGGACAAATTTTGAGTACCATATACAACTTTATTCAAGAAGATACGACTGCGCAGAAGCAAGAAAATATAGTGCACCACAATCATTGCAACGAAATCGGCCCTATATAGTACGACAAATCTAGTCGTTTTTTGGAAAACGACTAGATTTGTCCTACAAATCTAGTTGTTTAGCCCAAAACGACTCGCTGTCGTGCACGAAGGACAGTACAGTTGTAGTGTTACACTGCAATTGTATTGCCCTTCTTGCACGGCAGCTTGTTGTTTTGGGTGGCCCCCGAAATGCAGGTCCCCGGCTGGCAAGCATAAGGTAAATGATTAAGTAGAAGAAATTTACTGCAGGTTTAAACGTTCCTTCAGTAGCCTATCGGTACCGGCAACTGTTTTCGAGAGTCACTCACACCCTTTAGGTTCGTCCCTGTGTTGTCGCAAGCGAGGGACGATCCACAGCAAACACCAAAGGGCGTGGCTTTTCACAATACAGTTGCCGTTACCATTCGGCCACGGAGGAAAAGTTAAACTCAACCGACAAATCGGACATGTCTTTCCGCACTCATTAGCATGCAAATAAAAAAAAAACACGCCCAAACGCTCTTCAGGAGCGTTTTTTGAGCGAAATAAAAAATAACTATAAAGGAAGAAATATAAGAAATATCTTAGTTGAAAGTTGTGGCTAAAAACCCTCAATTTAAGCTAGAAATTAAGTTTAAGGCTTCGTAAACAAGAACACCGAAAATTCAATTTTGTACATACGGGATATATATACCATGAATCAAATGCTTTGTGACGTCAGTTACAGCATGTTCTTCGGTGAACTAGCATCTGCAAAAAATCGAGGAAAACCAGGCCAAAATTCTATTTTCTGCCAAAATAAAAAAAAAGAAGTCAATTAAATGCTACAGAAATTGCGACGATACCATAATGGACGTTTTGTTAAATTTTGGGCCAAATTGGAAGAGGAATGATGAAGAAATGATCGAGAAATTTCAATGTTAAATCATGGTGGTCAAAGACAAAATGGCGGCACCTTCTTCTCCAATCAAGAAAATGAAACGAAACGGCTTCAATGGTGTTGAAAGTCAACAATATGTTATATGTGTTACCCTGTAAGTTAATTATATAACTACTATCAATGTATAAAGCTGTTATGTTTTACTTATTTTACTTCTTACAAACACATTTAATATTTTATCCTATTTTTCTTAACAAAATATTACCTAAAAACACGTTCATTGCATACATTTAAAAAAAAAGAACATGATGATTATTATCAAATGATACAGTATAATGTTCCATTGTAAAGTTTCTCCTAAATTTAATCCCGTCAAATAAAAAATTTCACACACACCATGAAATTATATTACAGGTCCCCCTCCCCCCTCTCTTCAAAACACAGCCTTAATTTATCTGTAAAATGTCGCTTTTTTGTTTAATATACCTATAAATTAATGAGCTATTTTTTAATTCTCTGTAGTGAATCTATCAAAGCCAAGATAAACCGTTGCTAAAGAAACTAAACATGCAGCAGAAGATGGTGAGTTGTTTTTTTTTCAGGTGAATTAATTTACGCGATATATTGCATCTGACTTTAGAAGTCGGTGGATAAAAACGCTTCCCAAAATTTTCGTTGCCATGGCGACCATGACGTTTTAATATGGCCGCTTTTCTTTTCCTTTAAACTAATTCGAAAAAGGACAGTGACCCCATTTTTTATTTTGTTAATCGTTCGATTAGTGATAATAAATATTTCAGCAAACATTTAAAAACATTACCAATGAGGGTGGGAAAGGGGGGTATGGATCACGTTTCACAACGAAAAAAAAGCCGTTTCACGATTCACGTGTCTTAAAAAGCAATTTCACGGAAAACTAGATTCTCATAAAATAACATAATAATATGTTTATGAAGACTATGTTTAATGCATGGTACAGTATCTACGCTTTAAGTTCTCTAATTTCTCTACCTGTCAGTTAAAAACTACACCATAACTTACAAGTTTGAGTGACGAGAATGTACGACGACCTCCACGCGTGTCCTCAGCGTGAGGAACCTTGTCCTCAGCGTGAGGAACATTGTCCTCAGCGTGAGGAACATTGTCCTCAGCGCCAGGAACCTTGTCGTCAGCGCCAGGAACCTTGTCCTCAGCGCCATGAACCTTGTCCTCAGCGCCAGGAACCTTGTCCTCAGCGCCAGGAACCTTGTCCTCAGCGCCAGGAACCTTGTCCTCAGCGGGAGGAACCTTGTGCTCAGCACTAGGAACCTTGTCCTCAGCGCCACGAACCTTGTCCTCAGCACCAGGAACCTTGTCCTCAGCACTAGGAACATTGTCCTCACCGCCGGGAACCAATCCTCACCGCCGGGAACCTTGTCCTCAGCACCTGGAACCTTGTGCTCACCGCCAGGAACCTTGTCCTCACCGCCAGGAACCTTGTCCTCAGCGCCAGGAACCTTGTCCTCAGCGCCAGGAACCTTGTCCTCAGCGCCAGGAACCTTGTCCTCAGCGCCAGGAACCTTGTCCTCAGCGCCAGGAACCTTGTCCTCAGCGCCAGGAACCTTGTCCTCAGCGTCAGGAACCTTGTCCTCAGCGTCAGGAACCTCGCGAAAGGCCTCCGAAGTTTTTACTCTTGTGCAATCGAGTGAGGTCATATAAATTTGATTATCTCGTATCATGTTTATTATAATAATCACTATAATAATCACAGTTCACGAAACAGGCATCCTTAATTCTCATTTCACGGAGCATTTTTATCAACAATCACGCCTCACGGCTGTAGAACAAATCACATTTCACGACACTAAAATCAAGCATTTCACATTTCACGCGAACAAATATTGACCATTCACGGCTCACGAAAATACCCTTTCCCACCCTCATTATTCTGCAATTCAAAAATTGATGCCGTGATTGCAGACTCAGGATATTCCCATGAAATGAGAAGATTCATATGTTTTCTGTTTCTTAAACAGGGAACTTAAATATTAAGTTAAACCTATTCCAAATACATTTTTAAACTATTCAAATGACGAAAGTTATTGTTTTTTAAGCGTTTATTAGCGAGTGGGAACCCAACATGGCCGCCATCTATTCAAATGGGGGTGGTTACCACCAATGATGGTGCTGGGATATTCTTGGCTTCAATTTTACTAAAAGAGATGCGCTATACAGGTTGTCCGAAAAAACCCGGAAACTATTGAAATCACTTCTTGTTAAATTTGAATGCCCTACCAAACAGCTGGACGTAATGATGCGTAAAATATTGACAAGGTGCATGTATTAGAATTTAGTTAGGAATATCTCCTGCTAAAGTGCGCGATTTTCTGCTCCTGGGAATTAAAAACAGCTTCTTAAACAGTTTCTTTATGCATAAAATTTACTTATGTCAATCATTTATGCACTCGTGGGAACCAACAGAACGCTAAGGCATTCAAATTCTAACAATTAAATTGTTATTGGTGATTTCAATAGTTTTCGTTTTTTTGGGGGACACCCTGTATAGTGTATATAAGATATCTATGGTTGTGTAGCTCATTATGTCTGCAGACTCGTCATTATATTGTCATATAGTATAATATCCTAAGGCTGTCAACTCTTTCACACATTAATACGGTCGCTTGAAATAACTAAAGTAACGCAATTTTCTGAAGAAAAACTCGGACACAAAACACCTTGGATATACTTTCTAAATTTGTTAATACTTCTTAGAGTTAAAAAAGTTTAGAAGTGCTTAAATTTCTTCAATAAAAAGTTAGTTTTCATCGAACTTTTGCTGCAGATAGGCGGGATGCAAATTGCTCGACAAACCATCGGAAAACCATCTGCTTATTTCTTTCTTACCTCTGAACAATGGGAAAATTCCGAATATAATATATTGCAGTCAACGAACTTTCTTCGGAATTTTCCGATTTTTCAGCAGCCAATAAGAATAAGCCGATTGTTTTCCGATGATGACGTTTGTCGAGCAATTCGCCTATCTACAGCATAATTTCGACAAAAACGTTTTATTGAAGAAATTTAAGCACTTCTAAACTTTTTTCAACTCTAAACTAAATTTAGAAAATATGTCCAAGGTGTTTTGTATCTGATTTCTTTCTTCAGAAATTTGCGTTGCTTTTCTTGTTTCAAGCGACCGTATTAAATTAATGTGTGTAAATTTATTGTATGAAAGAGTTGCCAGCCTTAGGATATCATACTATAGACAATACAATGACGTAACATGCGACTATAATGAGCTACACAATAAAGCGCTGGGTAGCAAATTCAGGCGAACTTTGTGTGCATTTTAATTTTTTTAACGCATTTTAAGTAAATACATATATTTGCTGGGTTGCCTATGATAATAATTGCTTTTCAACAAGTACCAATTGTTCAAAAAGACTGCCCTACATCGTAAAATTTCGTCTTGCTATTTCTTTCTAAATTTTTTCCTAAAATTTTCATTGCACATTTTTTGGTAGAGTGATATGAAGGCAACAACTGGACGACACAATTAAAGCGAGAGCAAGAGGAACAAAGAGGAACAACGAGGAACAGTGGTATAAAAGACATCGACAGAATAATGACCAACGAAGCCACAACTATCCAAAGATGATAGCAGATGTACGGTTTATCACTGTTATTTAAGATTCTACACAATTAAATTCTGTTTATTTTTTATTTTTTATTTTTTACCATTAGGTATGCCACCGCATTTTATTTTCACCCGGATTTGTATTTTTTATAACACGTTAAGTTTAGTAAATGTAGCGTTCAAATCCATTTGCCTAGTCCTTTCGTTGCACTTGTTAACAGAATTTTTCTCCATTTTTTATGGTGGTTCACTGTAAATTGACGGGACCATGATGGATCATCGACAGAAATGAAGAACCTCCAACAACAAAACAGAAGAAACGACGATGCAAAGATACAGTGAATGTAAGTTTTACTGGTGTAATTTATGCAATAATTTAAATATTTTTGCCCAAAGCCACGAGACTATTCTCACGTTGATTGCTACACCCTATTATTCTGACTCAGCCGTAGCGGACACTTCGCGAAGTATTGGGGGCGGGGGAATTTGATTGCCAACATCATATGACCACCTTCTGTAGCCGGAAATCTCAATGATGTAATCTTCTTTGCCTTAAATTTCACGCAATATATAGCTTTATTGAAAAATTCGTGGTTAAAAAATTATTGCTACAGCTTTGTTACAAGGGTGATCCCCTACTCCTCCCGGTGTCAGTCGCTGTTACTCAGTTCTTCCTTTATTTCCGTGTCAGTGGCGTGCTGGCAGGGGGGGGGGGGGTGGCCACGCCCCCCAGCTGGCAATTCTTGCAAGGCGCAAAAATGAAAAGGGGGCGCCGATCCCGCGCCGAGTTTTGAAAGTGGGTTGGAAAAAACGCATTCGAAAAAATATATTTACTTCCTCCGAGAAAAGATGTGTTTATAGGCTTATAAAACAGACTAAGCGCATAGGCGACAAAGTGATATATTAAATTATACAGACTATTTTGTCTAACCGTATTTGCTAATTTGCTACCTCACGACACACACGAAATCGTTCATATAGAAACATGAACTGTGATCACACGCAATGTCTCATCACCGGAATATTGGTCAGGTTTCGAAGCAATCACGGGAATTATGCCCTTTTTTGCTGGTATTATGCCCTATATTATGCTTCACTGCCCTTTATTACGAATCACAAGAGCGGCGCAAATTAGATAGTTTAAGTTATGATATTAATGTAAAGTTGTGTACGCAATTTAGTTGTTTGCGCTAGAAACATCATGAGTAATGTGAGTAATGAAATAATGCTGAAACGCGCCCTTTTGGCAGCCAGGCAGGGAAACCTTAAAATGCATATGCGTGGGGTCCGTGTGTTATTGTATAAAAGAGCTGCATGTTGTAATTGTATTCAGATCACTAGATCAGTAGAGAATAGAATTGGGATTAAATTAATCGCTGGAAGTTGTTAGCATTGCATAATATAAGTACTACTACTACTACTAAATTCAAACCAAATTGCAAATTTCGACACGTTATAATGCCGTTTCCTGACCATCAGATTTCTGTCAAATCTTCCCCCAAAGTCCAGGAAATGGCATTTCAGAGACTCTAAATTCAAAACTTTCCTGGGGGGCATGCCCCCGGACCCCCTAGACAAACCTCGCACCTGCGGCGCTCGGCTCGTGCCTTCGGCCCTCGTTTATCAAGCGAAACATTATAGGGGCGCATATTTGTTGACAGTACCCAGTAGTACCCAGCACGCCACTGTTCCGTGTGATATGCTAAACCTGACTTTTATGCACTTAAAATTTAAAGAAATTTTAGCATTCTCTTCTTTAAAAGTATATTAATATTGTCGATTTCAGGTAACCTTTCAACACGCTGTTCCCAAGTTGGTTGCGAACTTGCCAATTACGTTGTCAAGTTCGGAAGTTGGGCGTGAACTTCGCAACGAAGTTCGCAAGTTCATTTCAAAGTTCGAACATTGATTGTAAACAAATGTTCATAGTTGGAGTTGAAATTACAGTATAAGGCCCTATATGCACACATTACTGCAATAAAATATTGGTCCGGTGGTCTCCCAAGACGAAAATGCCTTTTTAAATAAATTTATAAATGAAATTTTTACATTTGTTTACAATCCAAGTTCGAACTTTGAAATGAACTAGCGAACTTGGTTGCGAAATTCCCGGCCAACTTCCGAATTTGGAAAGGTAATTGGCAAGTTGACAACAAACTTTGGAACCGCGCTTTGAAAAGTAATCTGAATCGACAATAAGTAAATGTTTCCTATAACATGTGTAGTGAAATATTCAATCTATTTTGTTACTAATGGGAAATATCCTTTCATTTCAAAAAGGTTGTTATATGGTGTGAAGCGGAATCCAACGAGAGTGCGCAAGAAGGAACGACCGCCAGATGAAGACCTACAACCAACAGATCCTACAACATCGCCAAGATGAGAGTAACGCAAATTTTATCAAGGTAAGAGAAAATCAAAAATTATTCGAGCGATTTTTAATCGTTTCTCATTAAAAACCGAAAAAACTATTTCGACAATTTTGGATAAGATAACTGTTTCAAAATAAATGTTTATTTATCCTTCAGGAAATAGAAATTTTGCATCAAACATCCTACGAGCTTGTACGGAGAGAAGACAAATGCGAAGTGAAGACAACTAGATCATCCAACCAAAGACAATACACGATTGAATTGGCAGATGAAGGAATGGTAGATGACATGGACCCATCAACAGAACGTCGATGCCCGATCAACAGAAACAACGAAAATGCAAAAGTAATTAATATAGATGTAAGTAATGTTATAAAACTTTTGAAATACATGCACGCAGGAATTTCTCGCTTTTTCAAACCTAATAATATACCTGAAAAAGTGTTCTCGGGTTGTTGGTTCATTTAAGTGGATGGGTAAATTATTTACTTCATATGTATTTCATCATTTTCATGCCAGGAAGTGACCACGAATTTGCTTCTGCATAATTTTCTCATGTATATTATTAAGAGGCAATTTTTTTCAATGTCGCGTATTTGCAATGAAAAGTGTTCAAAACCTAAAATCTTTTTGGCGTTCCTCTCAAAATTACTTTGTTTTAGCTTTATTCTCTAGTTTATATAGTTAGCTACCTTTTTACAGTCTTGCCAATAGAAGCGTTCCGAAAAATGTTGACCAGTTCATTTCCTGACTTCGAGGAGTTCCTCTGAACAATTCCTCAACAATTTGATAAGTTCCTTAAAAAGTTCCTAACTTCCTGTTTCATTGACCAATCAGATTGCTCAAAAATAAAATATAAAATTTGATTGGTCAATGAAACAGGAAGTTAGGAACTTTTTAAGGAACTTATCAAATTGTTGAGGAATTGTTCAGAGGAACTCCTCGAAGTTAGGAAATAACTGGTCAACATTTTTCGGAACGCTTCTATTGGCACAACTGTAAATGCATCTGCCGGTTGAGAAACATAAAATAATAGTTAAAAATTGTCAATTAAAATACAATTATCAATGATCTTTAAAATTGACGTCATATTTACAACCATATAAGCAAAACTTACTGAACTTCAGACATCATTTTCTCTTTGGCGTATCATCTAAAATCGCTTCATTTTAGCATTATTTTACAGATAAAGCACTAAACATACTTTTTAAGTTAGTTTGCCGATTGAGAAACGTATCGAAAAATAAAAAGTTTTGAATTTAGTCATAACCTCAAGTGGTATATTATACGCATTAGTTTTGAGCGCGTGTTACGTGACATTGAAAAAAATCTCCTCTTAATAAGTAATAGTATGATTTCTCGAGCAATTTGGAAAAACACACACTCGTGAGTTTTTCAAAGACTTCAAATTGCGCTCGTACTTCAGACTTAGGGACCGTTCATTAATTATACGTCAGGGTGGGCTGTAGGAAAAAGAGCAGAAACGGGAAACGGTGCAAGTTTACGATGCCCCCCCCATTAAGGTGTTAATTTTTTCATGACCCCCCCCCCTTCTAACCGACAATTTTTTTCACAGCTCCCCTGTTTATTTTCACCAGTCGTACAAATTTTTCCCAAAAATGTTAGTTTCATCGGGGTATGGGGGTGGGTGGTAAAATTCTCCATGTACCCAAAATTTTCTCCACATGCAAACATAAGATTATTCAGTACCTTCTCCCACCAGAATATGCTTAACGCTTCCCACCTCCTTTCACCAATAAAACATGAATGAAAAGCTTTCTGAACCCAGCTAAAAACAAAAACCATTTCTGCTGCAATTGGTTTTGGCTGTAAGGGCCTGGAATATTTTGAAACTGGACAAACTTAAAATATTAATATGTCAATTACGTCAATTTGGCACCCCTTCATGCTATGACTTTGAAGCCCCCTCTTAACCATAAATTGTTTCCGTATAACCTGCCCCATTCTTTCCTCCAGTCTTGGTCCTTTAATTAATGAACTGGTCCCCGCGCAATTTCAGTCATCTTGGAAAAACTCACACGTGCATGTCTTTTTTTCAAAACCCACTCGAGCTCGTAGAAATGCCTATACCAACAACTAAAATTCCAAAACGTTGTTTGGACCGTGCACTATTCTCATTTCTTGTTGTTTCAACAGGTAGGTATTTTGTCCACGTTGGTCAATCATTTTAAACGGCACGCGAAAATATTTTTAAAACAACAAGTTTTTGAGTTCTTTTCTGGCCGTTTCTGGTAAACAGCAGATTCGCAAAAACATAAATTCGTTTTCGTAAAAATGTACTGGACCTTTCTTCGCTCACTAGTCAAAGTATTTCTGATTGGAAAATTCGTGATTTTTCGTCGGAATACGAGGTTCCCCGAAATATAAAGTTATCCAAAAGCTTGATTTTTATACTTTTTTCGTTTCCAAACTTTCGCGTAGCTTTCCTGCTTTTCAACGAAGAATTAAAAACAATATCTTGTCAGTGGAAAAAACTACGCCAAAAAAAACAAATTAAACGCTCAAAAATCAAATGTTACATTTCCCCTCCCCAGGTCTCCTGTCTGTTTACCGCGCCAATTTTGACGCGTGCGCAGACAAAATTCCTCCCCCCCCCCTTCCCCGCTACTGGATATTGCCCTCCAACATGGTTGTCGTGACGTCACATGAAACACTCGATCAGCCTACACCTATACGACCTTCTATTTCTAATTTCGGCGCTTTTCCACACGGGAAGACTGGGACCCACGCGCTTTAGGGGCAGGGCGGAGGATGGGTGAAAACATGTGACGTCATACTTACCAAATACTAGCCCAAAGTTGACCAAAACTTGCCGAGTAAAGGACTAGGTCTAAGCTGTCATCGACATTATTAATTATGTACATTAATATTTCACGTTTCGAATTATCAACTGAGTAATATTACCACGCAATTTAAAATTGTTATTATGGGATTTGGCGCCGAAGCCTAAAATATCAACGGTAATTTTTGGTCTCCGATAATTTGGTAAATTGATTGTGAGACCTGATATCTGATAAAAAATCCTGGCAACTTACATAATTCAAGTCTTTAACATGATTCGATCCTATTTCATGGACTCATGGATACTTTTTTAAATTTCAGAAGGTGATGTGATGAAATTTTAATGTGATGAAATGTGTAAGAGATGACGGAAAGACCAAAACGAGCCGCTCACGAACGGCATGGAGCCAAGAAAAGAATGACGATTCGCAACAATCAGAAACCACGCAACATTGTTAATACGAAAGTAGCGAAAAATTTTACCAATGTAAGTTAGTTAAAGGCAAAATACTTATTTAAAGATCAAAGGGGATTCAAGTGAATACAACGATTTTCTCATTGAAATTAAGCATGCTACGATTTGGCAAATTTTTCCACTTTGTTTTACAGTTTTCGGAGTATAGAAATAATTACTCTCAAAATCGGGTAAAACGTTTGGGTAAACGTTTCAAAAACGCGATAACGCAGTGTTTTTTCGATGAGCTAGAGTCTGTTTGGTAACATCATTTCGTAAAAGTTTTTTGAAAACAAGAAAAAAGTTTCCAAAATTGATAGTAGAGAACTGTTTGTATAAAAAATTGAATCAACAAACCTTAAAAGCACGAAATCTTGCCTGGAATATTTTCGATTGTACTCTTTTCTGAAAACAAAATATTAATCCGCGTCACCCATAGTTGATGTAAAATAAACATGGCTTGGAATCTAGCACCAAGCATTTCCTCTTTTTCATCGTTAGTTGGTGTTGATAATAAAATCACTGTCAGATGCGGTCCCTATCCACGTTTATATTCTGTTAACTACGGGGTAAGTCTTGTTTTCACAATGAAATCAACATACGATGATGAGAACAAGCAACCCTATTTCAAGCGTTAAAAAGTTAAGAATTGGTGGATTCATTTTTCGTGCGTTTAATTCCCATGGGAATATACTATACTGTCTTTATGCTAATTTTTTTTTTATTTTGCGCAAGCGTAAAGTACTTTGCAATTTTATTTTTTTTCTCCGTATTTTCAATTCCCAGGGGAATATACCATGCTTTGTTTTCATGTTGATGTTGATTTCATAGTGGAAATATGACTTTATAATGAATCCTCTTTGATTAAATATGATAAGTATCTTGTTACTTGCGGGTTTGAGAGCAGCTGCGACGTGTCATGCAAATGATCATCAAGGCGTTCGGGTTAAATGAGTATGAGAATTGCGGTTAGGTATATTTCGATCTGTTTCAACTATATAGATAAACAGTACTATATGGTCACTAAATTAGCGACATTGTAATTTTCGTTTGGATTTTAAACTCTCTTCAAAAAGTTTTAAAAACAATTCTATGCATTCTCATGCTTATTTAATCAAGCCTTTGGTTTAGGTAAGTTTAAGGTTTGTATTTACTTCGGACCAGTTAACAAAACTCAAGCCCATGCCTTTTCAGTTAAGATTTTACTTTTCGAACCAGAATCCAAAACTCAGTCTAAGTGGGTTATAGGATAGCTAGTGATAACGTAATTTATCATTTTATTTTGCTCTTTTGTTTATAACGTAATTTATTAGCTAAATAGTATGGAGTGCGAGAGTGTGCGCCGTGTGTGTAGGATTTATGGGGTTAGGCTAAACTAAAGGGTTAAAATTTTGAGAGAATATTTAAAGAGAAATCTTCTCTGAATAAAACGACTAATTTCCTAACATCAACAAAATTTGCCGAGTTTCGTTATTTAAACTAAAATAAAATTATAATCTCCTTGTAAAGCATATAGAAGGAAAAATCCGGATTTCGAGGTGTCGTATTTTTTTCTATCTATATTTCATGTAGAGGCAAGTGAGAAACTCACCTGTTTGTATACGCGGTCTTTCTTAATCGTCAACTTTAATTTCTATGTTTGCGTTTGGCCTAAAATATCCGAATAATTAAATTAATTATGTATACTTTACCAAAATTTTAATTCCTTCAGTTTTAAGGGTGGGCAATTCGGGTTGGTGGCAGGTTGGGCAGTTGTGAGTGTCTGTGTGATGGTGAGGAAAGCGGAAGTTACGAATGGAATGCAGGTAGCTTAGGACCGAGGCAGACAGCTTAGGACCGAGGCAGACAGCTTAGGACTGAGGCAGGTAGGCAGTTGGTAGGAATCAGTGGGGGGCACTTGTCATTTTGGCCATGGGATTCAAAATTTGCATGCCGAGTATTTGTTACTAATGCTTGTTGTTTTACATTTGCTAGGTATGCGCGTGGCTGCTCTCAAGAGAAGATCAACTTAGCAATTTGCATTAGCATTTGCAAGGTTGGTCTTCTCTTTGCCCCGCTACCCCGGCTGGCTCTCCGAGTGCTACCTCTACTTTAAGTAGAAGTACTTCTATCTACATAGTAGAAGTACTTCTGCTTGAAGTAGAGGTAGTACTTGGGGAGCCGGCCGGGGTAGGGGACTTTTTTTTATTTTTTTTTTCAATTCCCATGGGAATTGAATTTTTAATTAAAAAGGAGTCTCTTGTATAATTAATGAACAATTTATTGAAAAGAACTTGTAAATTTTACAATTTGAATAACAATAAAAAGAGAACAACCACTGCATTACTGTACTTATTTAAATAACAATAGAAGAAAACTGAACATGGCACACAGAGAACAATTAACATTGTGTTCAACACAAGTGAATAAGCACAAGTGAAAACACAACTTTAAAAACGTGTTTGCCCGCAAATTAACAGTAAAAAAGTTAATTCTTCAGGAAACAAGAGAACCTGGTCTTTTCAAGATAAATGTTTATACTTCAAAATAAATATTGTAAAACAACTCTAATGATAATTTTTACGAGTCTGACGGAGAAATCGAAAGCGTAACACCAAGTTGTTTTACAAAGAAAATATGTGGCTCAAAGGACAAAGTAAATCGAACATGCTTTTACTTTTTTGGATACGAATTAAGTGTCTTTGCTAAGTTGACCAAAATTTTCACTTGAGTATGGAAAACAATGATTTTATCGCGATGTTTGGATGCTAACAGAAATTCGTTGTAATGCGAAATTACTTGTAAAGTAGTTGGCAAGACATCCTAAAAGTGTCTTAACATTTTGACAATGCATTGACAGCACATTAAACTCAGAAATGATATTTTCAAACATCGAAACATTACTAGATCATTGGTTCCATACTCAATTGAACATATATAAGAACATTTTTCTCAAGTGCCAAATCAAGAAATATTTTAAAATTTGAAATTATCTCGCGGTCTTTTGGAGCCATATATCTTTGAGCGTCGTTTTTAACCTGACAACTTTGATTATATATAATGTTAATACTAATTCAAGTGATGAAAATGCATTTCAATCAAATTTTAAAATAATATTATTTCTCCAATGCTGATTGATTTTTCGAACAAAGAAAATGGTACATTTCTCGTCCTTGATAAATACATTAAATGATACACATTGATCCACTATTTTACAAACATACATCTCCTAAATTTCACGTAGAGAGACGTTTTCTGTTTTATATTATTTATATATTTAAAAAAACACTTCAGGAAATATTTTTGATGCAAAACATGCAGCGACCAGGCACAGAAACACACAATTACAAAATGTGGTTGAACCAAACTTTGAAATGTTCATAAAATATTTTCTTATTTTTTTTTTACACTTTTCTTTATATTGGCCAAAACCAAAAGGAAACTTTCAATTGGAAAACAGTTTATTGTCTTGCATAATAAAAAAAAAAACAGGAAATAAGTTTTGCATGGGTATACTTTGTTAACTCAAAAGTAGACAAACATTTTTGATCAAAGTCCTCGCAAGGAACAATCAGTTTCCATATAATCCTTAGAATCTCTTTCAACAAACAAAATATTATATTGAATTTTCATCAATTTCTAGTATTTCAACATTAAGCAAACCAAACACAAACATCAAAAGACATATACAGTAGTTAGGAGTTGTCGATTGAACTTGAAAGGTCACAATGATTGAGTTTTAGTTAATTTTGGTCAGCATTCTTGTCAGGTTAAAAACAGACCTTTTTGAAGTATAAACTTACCTTTACATACTGGTTGAAAAAGACCATGTTCGAGTGCCATGTAAACCTCTTTTCCTATATCACTATTTGACTATTATAACACACCATTACAAAGTGGAACTATTTGAAAATAATGTTGAACTGAAGCAAAAGAAATAGATATAAACATAGAAAACTAACAAATTAATTTCAATTTCCAAACAATTATTAACCACAACCAGCCAATAAAAATTAAAAAAAATAAATCTTGTCATCTCAGCATCCAAACCAAAGTACAAAATTAATTCATTGAATCTGATTCGAGAAAAATAAAATTTGAAATTCAGGCTTAAAAAATTTCATACTTGAAAAAAATTAGGGTTGTAGGTCAGATTATTTAAATAAAAATTGGATTTTAAAATCTAGAACTTTCTATTCAGTTTATAAAACTTGGTAGAAAAAGAGCATCTCACTCATTTCCTATCTCGTGTGATGAAACACACACAAATTTTGACGAATACTAAAAATATGGTTAATTCCGTGCTTGAATTTCGATTCAAATCTTATCAAATTATGCATCGATTAACACCTAGCACAAAGAATTGTCGATCTTATCTTCAGCCTCAATATTCCAATTATTGGATTGCTGTACCAAACAATTAACATATACTTTTGAATGCGGATTGTTTTTTTCTTCCCTATAATACCAAACATATTCCACATCATCCTGTAACCTGGTTGTGGTTTTCCTTGCCATACACAACAATCAATTTTCTTTTATTTTTTCCACCTCACATTACCCCCAAAGTACAGTTTGCTGCTTCAGTTCATCTATATTCAAATAAGTCCCACTTTGTAATGAAGTAAAAGCAATATCCTAGCCTATTTCGACCATTAACTGTTTGTTTTAAAGTTGGGAAAGTTTTTTAAAAATCACAAACTTAAGTTGGTTGGCACAGAAAAAAATAAAAACAACTGAAGAACACAATCCTCCTATAAGTCAGTACTGTATAGAACTGCCCTGTTCCTCAACAAATCCATTTTATTTGTGTCCAGGAATAATCAAACTCATGTATTAAGAGTGTGCTGGGATAAATAAGACAGGACTATTATTCTATTAAACAACAAGGCAGTTCTAACAGTGCTAATTTTAAAAGTATTGTATACTTCAATTGATCACTGATTGCTTATTCTAAGATTCAATATTTGAAGACTCATATAACATCCAGAATTGAAATAAACATTGTGATTTTCAGATGAACTTTCCAAACTTTCAGCAAACACTGAAAGTCTACTTAAACAAGAGAAGATTGAGATGAGTTACTGGTTTTTACTGTTTTCACAATGTACTTCGATAAATTCAAGATACAAATTATGATATGACAAATCCCTGGTAGAAATCTTATTTAAGATCCTACAAGATCCTATAAGATCCTATAAGATCTTACAGGATCCTATTTAGGAACAAGATCTTATTTAAGATCCTATTTAAGATCTTATTTAAGATCTTTTCTTATTTAGGATCCTAAAATTTCTTAAAAGATATAATCAAGATCTTAAAATTTTCTTAAAAGATATAATCATGATCCAAAACTGATTGTAATGGACTCTAATCAGGATCCTAACGTTTTGTTAGATGATTTAATCAGGGTCCTTGAGTTTTCTTATACGATTTTATCTGGATCTTAAAGTTTTCTCATAAGATTTAGTCAGGATCCTAAAGTTTTCTTATAAGATTTAATCAGGATCCTAAAGTTTTCTTACACGATTTAATCAGGATCTAAAAGGTTTTTACAAGATTTAATCAGGATCTTGAAGGTTTCTTACAGGATTTAACCAGGTTCTTAAGGGTTTCTTACAAAATTCAATCAGAATCCTAAAGGTTTCTTATAAGATTTAATCAGGATCTTAAAGTTTTCTTATAAGATTTTTCAGGATCTTGAAGTTTGCTTATAAGATTTAATCAGGATCCGAAAGTTTTGTTATAAGATTTAATCAGGATCTTAAAGTTTTCTTACAAGATTTTATCAGGATCTTAAAGTTTTCTTATAAGATTTCATCAGGATCTTAAAGTTTTCTTACAAGATTTAATCAGGATCGTAAAATTTTCTTATAAGATTTTATCAGGATCTTAAAGTTTTCTTATAAGATTTCATCAGGATCTTAAAGTTTTCTTACAAGATTTAATCAGGATCTTATAATTTTCTTATAAGATTTTATCAGGATCTTAAAGTTTTCTTATAAGATTTAATCAGGATCTTAATGAAAGGTTTCTTACACGATTTAATCAGGATCTTAAAGTTTTCTTATAAGATTTTATCAGGATCTTAACGTTTTCTTACAAGATTTAATCAGGATCTTAAAGTTTTCTTACAAGATTAATCAGGATCTTAAAAGTTTTCTTACACGATTTAATCAGGATCTTAAAGTTTTCTTATAAGATTTTATCAGGATCTTAACGTTTTCTTACAAGATTTAATCAGGATCTTAAAGTTTTCTTACAAGATTTAATCAGGATCATAAAGTTTTCTTACATGAGGATCTTATAGGATCTTACAAGATCTTATAGGATCCTCTTTAGGAACAAGATCTTAATTAGGATCCTATAGGATCTTAATTAGGAAAAATGGATGGTTTAGGATCTTAATTTCAAGCAAGATCCTACTTAGGATCCTTAAAGATCCTACTTAAGATCCTAAGATCCTACTTAGGATCCTAATTCAGGATCTTAACATAATTTCCTATAAGATATAGTATGGATCTTAAAGTTTTCCTATAATATTTACTCAGGATCTTAACAATTTCCTATAAGATCCTATATGGATCTTAGTATTTTCCTATAAGATATACTATGGATATTAACAATTACCTGTAAGATATAATAGAATTTTGACATTTTCTTAAAGATATAGTATGGATCTTAATATTTTCCTATAATATTCACTCAGGATCTTAACAATTTCCTAATTTAAAGATATACTACGGATCTTAACAATTTCCTACAAGATTCACTCAGGATCTTAACAATTTCCTACAAGATTTTCGCAGGATCTTGACAATTTCCTACAAGATTTACTCAGGATCTTGACAATTTCCTACAAGATTCACTCATCAGGATCTTAACAATTTCCTACAAGATTTTCGCACGATCTTAACAATTTCCTACAAGATTCACTCAGGATCTTAACAATTTCCTGCAAGATTCACTGAGGATCTTACAATTTCCTACACGATTTTCGCAGCATCTTAACAATCTCCTACAAGATTCACTCAGGATCTTAACAACTTCCTACACGATTTACTCTGGATTTTCACAATTTCCTACAAGATTCATCAGGATCTTAACAATTTCCTACAAGATTTAGCAGGATCTTAATAATTTCCTATAAGATATACTATGGATCTTAACAATTACCTACAAGACTTGCTACTCAACCCCAGGATCCTAAAATTTTCCTACAACGTTTACTGGATGTCACTGATAACTAAAATTCGTAAAATGGGCTAAAATTAGGTATGGACGTAAATGATTTGATTATTGTCGTGTAAGCAAGATATAATAAGACAGCTAGAATTTTGAAGATGGAATTGGAATTTAATAACTCAATTAAGAGTTTCTGTCGAGATAAACTCGAAAAAACCGTAATACAGACTGGATTGTTCACATGATTGAGATCAGTGCCTTCAGTCAATCACGTTGCCATATATGGGCTCCCATGCAGAAGGCTTAGCGGGCACATTTCGACTTCGAGCGCGTCGTTTGGAAATTTTATTTTATACGTCGGTTGATAATGGCCAAATTTTCTTAAAATATTGAAGAAAATAAGAAGAAATAATCCAATTTTTGAAGATTCACACAATAATTTTGAATGTAAGTGTTCAACTATGTCCATATTTTGAAGTTTTGTGTGTAAACATGTGCCATAAATAGTTGTATTCATGTATATTTTTTATTAACCGCGCCTATGCTGTTGGTCGCATTTTATTTTGTATTGGGTTCAATAATACATTGTTATTAAAATACATTAAATCTTTGTGATATTGCTTTGTATTTACAGATTATAATTACAAGCAATAAATACAGTCATAATATTGTGATGCAAGCAAGTCAAACTGTCGAAATCATGATATATAAAACGACAACAGACTAGAATATGTACAGGCTACAGCTGTCAAGATCAAGAAGGTATGAATATTGTTTATATAATTGTGTATTGAGAGGATATCAATACCGACTCATTTAGCTAATATTGATATAATCGCCAGAGAAAGTTTTATGGCTTTGTATGAGAGGAGAAGAATCCTTCCTTTGTTTTATCTATATTGTGCTATCATAATACATAGCTATATGTCCATTTATTATCCAGATAACCCCTAAATACACATGTTGCTGAATTCCCTGAATACATTCAGGATATATGTTTCCCATAGTTATACCTCTGAGTAATTCCAAGCTCAAAACACTGACCCCTGGGGAAATTATAGTGTACTCCTGAGGAAATTATAGTGTAGCCCTGATTCACTGATTGCCCTGAAGAAATAGCCCAATATGCTAAGTAGTATGCAGATCCTAACATGGCATTAGTAAATGTTTATGAGTCAAGTTGTGTGTTTATATCAAACCGAGGCAGCCCAGATACTAGAGTAAGCTCATTATAGTGTTGTACCAACTACCCACAGATGATAGAATGGCATTCTTACTAAATGTACCTGTGGTTGGTCATATCCAAGCAGGATAGTGAGATAATCTGGTCACCAGCTATTTCCCAAAGGTAGTGCTTATTGTGACTGAGAAAAAAAGTTTAAAAAAGACAAACTTGCGTATAACTTTAATAAAAATAATGAGTCTGGCTAATGAGGTTTTTGGGTAATAGTAGGATTATGTACAAGTTAACTTGGACTGTAGAATAATCCCAATTTTCATTTTGTAGCAATCATTCACCACAGAAAATTACTGTACAAATTGGCACAGGAAGGCATGTTCAAGGGAAAAGCTGGTGCAGCATTGTGTACAACAGACACTGAGACATACAGCAAGAACTGGTTTAATTTATGTGCTTCAGTTACTTCATATTGTAAGTCATTACAACTTTACAGTTAATATTATCCTGCCACTCTGGTTATAACCAATTTCTCTGCCAATTGTACCTTGTTAAATCGTAGTATGCCAGAAACTATTTGACCTGCCCTAAAAAAGTGTTACTTGTCAATACTTTAGCCAAACTTTCTGCCCAAATATCAAATAATATAATCGTCACCAACAAAAGATTAGATTGGGTTTGCTCTATCTACTGTTAGTATAAGTATGATACTTCCTCAAAAGCCCATATAAAGACGTCCAGTGCACTCTTCGTAATATTCTCTAATGCAAAATAATTATCTTTTTAAGGGAACATGTTGGCTTAGATTAATGTTTAACAAAGAACAGTTACAGCAAAACATTTGTGGATTTTTTGCGCTACAATATAGTGATGTGTTCTTATTCGACTGTGTCAAAGTGCCATTCAGCAAAGACTATTCGTTTCAAATCACCCGTACATCTGGTAACATGAACTTTAATTTGGATTACAGTGACTGATATAAACTATGTTGACATGATTCAATTGAATCAAAACATGTAATATAAACTATAGTTTTAACCCATTGAGCCGCAATGCGCCCCAGTGTGCCCTACCTTTTTTTACTTGTCTAACACCAGACGATTTTACTCGTCAATGCATGGGGAAGCTCTGCAGCTTAATGGGTTAACCAAAAAATCTGACAATGTCTCTAGTTAAACGATTGAGCTGTAATGTGCCCGAGTGCATGCTACTTATTTTTTACTTGTCTAACGCCAGACAATTTTACTTGTCAATTTAGAAGCTCTGCAGCTTAATGGGTTAAACTCCAAAAATAATCAGTTTAAATTTGTAATAAATTCATTTTTAACCAAATTGTTGTTCACACAGAGGCAAGCGGATGAACACCAAAGCGGCGTTAAATAACCTAGGATGGTGTAAATGTACACCAAATCGGTGTTCATACCGACACAAAGTTCTATTTACACTGATGTCTCCCAGAGGCAAGAGTTTACACCGATTTTGGTGTTGTGACAACATTCCCGGATTTACAGTGTACAACTTTTTTTAAGATTTACATATTAAGATTTATATAATATTTTATGTAAGATCTTATTTATATTTAAGATACTTAAAACATTTAAGATTAAAATTATAAGATCTAGCTTCTTAAGCTTCTTAAAGATTTCTGACAAGGTGTTCTTAAGATTTCTTATAAGATCTTATTAAGATTTCTTACAATATCTTATTAAGATTCTTTAAGATATATATAAGATCTTAATGGATCCTGCAGGATGTTAAATAGGATCTTAAATTATTTTTAAATAAGATCTTACAAGATCCTATAAGATATTGCAGTTGCTTGTAAGATATATGTTAAGATCTGAGTAGGATCTTAGTAAGATCTTATAACATCCTTTAAGATTGATGTAAGATCTTATATGATCTTAAGATTTATGTAAGATCTTATAGGATCTTTTAAGATTTATGTAAGATCTTATAGGATCTTTTAAGATTTATGTAAGAACTTATAGGATTCTTTAAGATTGATGTAAGATCTTATAGGATCCTTTAAGATTGATGTAAGATCTTATAGGATTTTTTAAGATTTATGTAAGATCTTATAGGATCTTTTAAGATTTATGTAAGAACTTATAGGATCCTTTAAGATTGATGTAAGATCTTATAGGATCTTTTAAGATTTATGTAAGATCTTATAGGATCTTTTAAGATTTATGTAAGATCTTATAGGATCTTTTAAGATTTATGTAAGAATTATAGATCTTATAGGATCTTTTAAGATTTATGTAAGATCTTATAGGATCTTTTAAGATTTATGTAAGATCTTATCTTTTAAGATTTATGTAAGATCTTATAGGATCTTTTAAGATTTATGTAAGATCTTATAGGATCCTTTAAGATTTATGTAAGATCTTATTTAGGATCCTTTAAGATCTTACTTAAGTTCCTTTAAGATTTATATAAGATCTTATTTAAGATCCTTTAAGATCTTACAGGATCCTATAGGATCCTAATTAGGATCTTACAAAATCTTACAAGATCTTAAATAAGATCTTACAAGATCTTATAAGATCTTATAGGATCTTACATTAAGATCTTAACAAGATCCTAATTAATATCTTAATAAGATCTTAACTAAGATCTTAATTAAGATTTCTACCAGGGATGTTAATCAATGTTCTTTTAATCCTTTAATGAAAACATACCCCAAACCGAAACATGAAAGATGACTAAGAAAATACTCAATTCTGAATTAAAAATAATAAAGTCACATGACTTGTCTTATTTGTAAGTAACCGCTTTGGTTTCTAATAAAAAACCACCTCAATCTTCTCAATGTTTAATTGATGTAACAAAGCCAAATAATGACAAACTTTTCATTTTTTATTTGACAAAACTTTGGAAATATGTAGAAACAACTATGTTCTTAGATAGAACACAGATAAACACAAATTTACGTTCTGTACTTTAAGACTTAGCTATTATGCCAAACAGAAAAAATGTACGTCCAAACCGAATCATCACTGTTAAAAATACAGACAGTTTGTCATTTTCTGGCTTGCTCATAAAATGCTTATATGCTTTGAAAATCATAGACTTTCTGTGATCGGTGGCAACACAAAACTTAATCAAGTAATCAAGGAACCACAAAACTGAAATTTTCCAAATTAATACAAGTCAAAATAGTTGTGTAATAATAGAATAAAAAAGTGCAATTGTTGTGCACTCACCATATTAAGACGCGAAGATTGTGTGCTTATTATTTTTGTTCTATTTTGTGTCATTATAAGTAAGATGCATGGTCATGCTATTTTGGCAATATTCTGCTGGGATTTTTGAAACTATTGATCACAGGCAATCATTTAATGTTCAAAGCATTTCATGTAAGATAAGAAAGCAAAATATTAAAACCTTTTATATACTTTCCAACGACAGTGTTCATTTTTGTGATCAAAAACACTTCAGCCAATTGCAAGTTGAGACATTGTTGGAACTTACAACACACATCTACAAAATTTTAAAAATTCACTATTGAGAACATGAAACAAATTAATATATTACAAAGAAAATTGTCCAAGAAATACAATCAGAAGGTCAGAAATAACAGGCCTTAATTAAAATATGTTTTACAGGGCCGTCTGACAAAATGTCCGACGACGTTGAGTTAGGGTCCAACATATGTCCGATGACCTTCAGTTCAGTTTTGACTCGGAAATAAGTCTGAATGGCAGAAATGAATATCAGCACAATGTATTAATTCTGAACGGTAACTGTTGTGAAGTCATACTTATTTCCAAGCCAAAATTAACTCGCTTTCCAGAACAGCAGTATTAAAAAAGACTACGAGCCCGCTTTTGAGTATATTAAAACAACATTTCCAGGTCACCCTTTATACAATAGTACTCTAATTTTCCACTTAACATACAAGCCTCTAGTCCTGGGATAGGGTACATTTTGATCGATTCACGTTGGACAAAGCTACAGTTCGGTCTGACACCAATACACTCAGGTCAAACAAACAATAAACCTCAGTTTCACTTAGGACAGACAGAATGTCCGGTGGTTTCCCCTCTAAGTCGGACAATTTCGCAAATGGGTCGGACAATGTCCGTGACTGACCGATATTTTAAGGCCTGGAAATAATTAGAAGAAAAAAATAATTTACCTCTTATTCAGGATCTTGGAATGTGACCATTTTTTGTAATCATGAGATCAAGAGGCTTGTGACATTCTTGAAACTTGCACTGTCCATCTACAAAAAATGAGAATTTTACTGAAGATGTGAATAGCTTGGCTAACAAGATGAAAAACTCAATATGAACACCAGAGTCTGAAACAAAACAATATCATGTGGTTCCGGCTTTCCAGACAACCCATTTTTCTCTGCCCTAATGTTTTTCTAGATGTGGTTGATTATGAGTTGTTCGCTTACCTGCCTACCCTATTTTCCATAGACGGATTTTCATATTTTTTACTGGGGTGGTGCCAGAATTTTAGGGGGGTGAGCCGTGAGCAGGTGACTGAAGCAACACAAAGTGTCACCAAACCCCAGTAAGGTCTATATTCTAGGGGTGGAGCACTAGAGCCGCAAGGGGGAGTCTAGAGAGCAGAAAACAAAGTATCCCTGGAAAAATTTGAAAAAAATCATGATTTCTAGCTTCGAAAAAACGTTTTTTGAAGTTGTCATATCAATGGATTTGGCCTGTCCGATCAGGGCCGTAGCTAGCATGTATAGTTGGGGGGTGGGGGTGTAGTCCAAATATTTCCGAATGACGAAAAAAATTTCCGAATATTTCATGGCATACGAAGCAACGAAGGTGTTTGCTATCTGGAAAATGAAGACGCAATTTACAAACAAAAATACACATAGCCCACATAGTTTCCACAAAGACATATTACAGAAGTATGCAGTGCCGTAGGAAGCTCTTTTTGCTTGGGGGCTGGGAACGAGGGCCGAAGGCCCGAGGAAATTTTTAAATTTAGATTCTCTAAAATGCCATTTCCTGGACTTTGGGGGAAGTTTTGACAGAATTCTGATGGTCAGAAAGCAAAGTTTTAATATGATATTTGTGATGTTACTCTGAGTATGCATCCACAGTGGGCAAGCTGAAAAGTGTGCCTGGCCACGGTGGGAGTCGAACCTGCAACCTTTGGGATACTAGTCCAATGCTCTCCCACCTGAGCTACGTGGTCAAGTCGGTTCGACTTGTTGATATTTCGGAACTGAATCTAGTTCCTTCGACATCAGTGTAATCTTTGATATGATTTATGTGTGTGTGTTGGTGTTGTGTACTCAAGTGAATATGATGTTTGTGATGTTACTCTGAGTAGGCATCCACTGATCCACACCGGGCAAGCTGAAAAGTTAGCTTGCCCACGGTGGAAATAAAACCCGCGACCTTTGGGATGCTAGTCCAATGCTCTGCCAACTGAACTACGTGGTAAAGTCGGTTTGAGTTGTTAATAGAGTTTTAGTATGTCGAAATTTACAATTTGTTTACAATTTAGCAGAATTAAATGGGCGAAGTCGTATATTTAGCTATATATTGGAGAAGTTGCAGGAAAGAGTATGGGTAATATAATTCTTTGCGGTTTGTCATGGATAATGTAGCCGCTTAAAATTAATCAATTGTTTAAATGATAAAGGTGTGCATGATTTTGAAAAAAGACTGATTATCAGCAAATTATTGTAAGGGTGCTGCCTCCCCCCCCTCCCCCCCAGTTGCTACGGCCCTGAGAAGTACTGAAACCGAAAAAATTTTACCGATTTACTATTTGTTAAACGTTATCCATGTAAATGCCGTGATTTCGTAAATCATTTTATACTGATTATAATATTATATTTTTTCTGTTTAATTAAACAATTAAAATTTTGTTATACTATTATTGCCGTAATTTTCCGAATGGCCAACCCGATTTTCCAAATATGTTAATTCTACAAAAGTTGCAAAAGTTGGGGGGTTAACCCCCCCCCCCCCCCCAACACCCCCTCGCTACGGCCCTGTGTCCGATTGTCTGTTGAGACTTGAGAGAGTTAAAGTTAAATGAACCTGTAAAAGTGTGAACCCAATAGGCCAATACACAATATGCTTTTACTTTTATAAACGAATTAAAAAATTAAAAAGAATTAAAAACGAATTACAAACCTAAAAGAATTAAAAACGAAAAATAATGTTTGTAAAAATTCCAAACGTTCCTTGCAAGCAAGCTATTTGCATGACAAGGCACTGCAAACTCTATTCAGGGGAGATAATAGAGTTTCAAAACTTTACAATTGCTCCAATAATATTGCTTTCTATTTGAGTGTACTCCTACGTTTATTTTGTATCATCAACACTCTGCACGTTGGAGTGGATTATTTAATTATTTTTTATTATGCCGAATATTGGGGGGGTTGAAAATTTTTTTGGAGGGGTGGACATTTTGTTTGGGGGGGTTATAGCTAATATTGGGGGGGGGTAGCACCCCCCACAAAATCCGTCTATGCTATTTTCTGTTGTTTGCTTTATGATGTAACTTGATGCCAAAAATATTGTCTGTTGCCCGGTACAGTTATTGTTTCTTGAAATGTTTATATGTTGTGGCATTATGCCAACTGATCATGGCAATTGCTGGCCAATGTCAAGCAAAAAACCTACGTATCCTACTTTTTTTCAGGATATGAAACCTGAACGACAACATATTTTTTGCATTTCAACTTAATTTTGACTCCAGGTGTCTGTTGTACCGGTAAATCAAGTTAATATGCTTTAAAGGTGGCTCCCTATAGTTATTTAACCCATTGAGTGGAATATGCAAGGTCTACCAATAATACACAGAATATGCAAGGTCTGCCAGTTAGGAAAATTTGAAATGGAACATCACTTCCTAACTTCCTGTGAAGTCTATAGTAGTCTTCGAGAAAACCTTTTAAATGACTTGGAAAGTGATTCCACCAATGAAACAGATTTAAATGAAGACATGAGATAATGAAATCAGCTGATTAAAGAAACTGTAATAAAATCCTCGAAATTTATCTCTTTATGTTTTGAGAAGAGATCTAAATGCCTTGAAGCTCGGAATGCTGACAGTCAATAGGCTGTCTAACTAAAACTTCTTTAATTATATACTGTAAATAGAGTACTCATTTGTAAACTATAGGTAGCTATCTCTATATCAATAACTTCATTTCATTTCTTGTATTACTCAATACTGACACTATGGCCTGTTTTATGCGTCAAATTTTGGTCACGTCGGGTGCAATTAGGACAATAGATAATGAGATGGTAAACCTCATTAAGCTTCATTATCTATTGTTTGAATTGCATTCGATGCAAACGAAATTCAACATATAAAACAGGCCTATGTCATACTACGACAAAATATTTTGCATTTGTAAATATTTATAATCATACTAACTTATAAGCTTTAGCAATAATTGTATGTAAAGTCATGCTAATAAACCCATTTGTTACTGTTTCTGAGTGACATTAATCTCCCTCTGATGAGTAAAATTGTCTGGTGTTAGACAGAGAAAATAATAAAGTTGGGCACATTGCCACTTAAAGGTTTAACAGGGTGCATGGGCAGATAGTCAGATTAACCCATCGAGTGGCAGCACTCTCCCCCTGACGAGTGTGCTTTTTATTTTTTTAACATTCTCTGAATCCTTGCCAGCCCATGTCGAAAAGAAGCTTTACACTGGTACAGGTGCATATTTTTGAGCCCGGCGTAGATGTGCTTCAGAAGAACAATCTTCTTATCAAACCACCCTCGGGCCTATGAACTTAATTAATCTTACTAGCCTGCTTGCCGAGAAGCCACCATTATCTATGACCGCACCTCCTACCCTTTCATCAAAATTTACACCAGTCTGCAGTGACGTCAAGAAACACAATTCTGGATTTTGCCTTATTGTAGCAATTTTCACTTTTGAATTTTTTTTTCTGTGTGGTGTTGTGTACTCAGGTGAATAATTTGATGTTTGTGATGTTACTCTGAGTGTATTTCCACACTGGGCGAGCTTAAAAAATATGCCCGGCCACGGTGGGAATCGAACCTATGACCTTTTGGAATACTAGCCCAATGCTCTGCCAACTGAGCTACGCGGTCGTAGGTTCGATTGGTCGTAGGGTCATAGGTTTGTAAGGTCGTAGGTTCGATTCCCACCGTGGCTGGGCATATTTTTCAAGCTTGCCCGGTGTGGAAATACACTCAGAGTAACATCACAAACATCATAATTTTCACTTTTATTTTTAAATGAATTAAATTCTATTTTTATTTTCAATTTTTTGTTTTAAAAGCAAGAATCAAACACGTTGTAATGTTGCTAAAGCAAGGTTTTTTCCTGCAAATAACTGAACAAAAACACCATATTGCTGAAACATTTTGTCGCAAGATTGAAATCTACAAGCTGGTGAAAGTATAGAATATTCGTCCCACCAAGCGCCTAGTCGTCTCGATATACAGCATTTAATATAAAAATTTTCGGCACGAACTCTGAGATCACAACTTTTTTCGACAACTTAAACAATTCTAGATCTTAGTTAGTCTTTTTACTCACTTGGTCAATAGTATTAAACAATAATTACGAACTAAAACACGGTTTAAAGTTCGACAATCGCCCATATTAAAGCGAACCACGTGCAAAGCAAAAGCACAAACTTTATGCCGAAATATCGCATTTTGTCCTAAATTTCCATCTACATTGGCAATCTAAGGTACTCTACTACAAGGATTGATATTAAATAAAGCATATTACCTTCAAATAAATGTGAAATTGATAAAAAATCCTCCAATTTCCTTCTTGCTTCTCGACATATTTCTTGCAGTAAAAAATTTAAAATTCGGAAATGCCCGGGCACTCCGTCGGGTCTCGGCACTGTACGATTCCAGTCGACATATTCCGAGCTACTTTGAAATAACAGGGGGGGGGACAGGAACACTGTGGGAATAATAAAATAATTATTAATTACATCATAAAGCATGGACACAGAGTACGATATAAAGGTCTTGCTGTAGGGTAATTTTTTACCAAAATACCTGATTAGCTGGCGGCCATGTCTTTAGCAAGTTCTCTAAAGAGAGGCATTCACCCCCCTGAAACATTAAATTTCAATATGTATTCAGGGGGTGATGGTAAAGGGTGACTGCCTCAGTGCCTCTCTTTAGGGTACTTGCTAAAAATATGGCGGACTAAAAAAATCCCCTTACGCTAAATTAACCTGGTGCCAGGGCGGTCTCATCACAGAATAAAGACACACAGAAGGTCGACTCCGCGAAAAAAGCGTAATTAATGCTGCCACGCCATGATTCGTCATCAAAATGCTGACGCCATGGTTCTAGCCACACAGAGCTTATAAATAACACTAGAGGAGGAATCGAGGTTAAATTTTGGGAACGCGGCCCTTTCCAGGTCAAGTTTTCATCAATTTTAAGTCCTAAAGATTTAGAGCATGGTCATCAAATGTTGCAAGTCTTTGACGAGAACCAATAACCATGAACTCAGTTTTAGCAACATTTAAACTTGTTAACATTAAGCCATTCTTTAAGTTTTCCAAGTTCGATATTCATAAGATCTTCAACCTCATCAAATGTATTACTTTGAAAACTTATGTTGGTATCATCGGCATACATTCTAGGTAACCCCTCATTCAGGCATTCAGACAGGTCATTGATATAGACTAAGAACAAAAGAGGACCAATAATAGAACCCTGAGGAACCCCGTAAGTTATGGGACAACTGTCGGAAAAGTTCCCATTGAGAAAACACTTTTGTTTCCGATTTGTTAAACATGAGTGAAACCATATGTCAAAGCATTATCATCTACTCCATAATGTTTTAATTTAATCAGGAGTAGCCTATGTTATGATCAATAGTATCAAACGCTTTCTTTAGATCAATGAAAACAACTTCATTAAGGTTTCGGAAAGGATCATGTATAATGCACTCATCACTTGTGTAAGCTAGCCAATCACAAAACATGTTTATTTTACTTCGGTATTTACATAATATTTTAATGAGTGTTTGAAAAAAGTTATAACTTCATTTAGTGACATAGTCACTAAATATACATATGAAACAAACGAAATAACATTGACTGAAGCCTGACCCTTAAACAACATGAACACTATAATGTCACTTAACTTTACTCTTGTTGAATAACATCAGTGACTGTTAGAGTTACAGTCAAGACATCAGTGACGGTTAGAGTCATTTCAGGGTCACGCATCAGTCGATGTTACCTAGTTTCTGGCGTTTGCATATTTACAGTGCCTAGAGGATCTGATGTGATCTAATTGTGTATGATGCAATGCAGCAACACGACACAACCAGAGACGGAGGAACATATTTTATTTGAGGGGGGGGGCTAAGTTTTTTTTTCGTGATTAAAATTTCCTCCACCCCCCATCGCCACTTTTTTTCGGACATAAACCAAAAACGTTTTCCGGACATATACAAAAAAAGGGATGAAAAAAATTTTTCCGGACATATAACAAAAAATTTTTCCGGACATATAGCAAACACATTTTCCGGACATACATTTTTTAAACAAAATATTGCAAATTTTTCCCCTTATACCTAAAGTTTCCAAAAATACCCTAAATTTTTCCTTAATTATTAAAAGTTTTCCAGAAAAAAACAAAATTTTGTGGGGGGGCTAAGCCCCCCACTTTTACTTCTGGGGGGGGGGCTAAAGCTCCCTAGCCCCCCTGTTCCGCCGCCACTGGACACAACCTATATGTAAATGGAGGCCATAAATCGTTACAATGTTGATATTGAGTAAAACAATCGTTCGATATTAGGAGATATTCTTCCATAGAAAGGTATCGATCTATTCATCTAGCAATGAACCCACGACTCAAATTTTTGTCTCCCTAAATGTTTTCTGCCGTAACTAAGATGGCTTATTTGAGGTTAAAATTAACCGGAGGAAACATACATTAATTTAAAGTATGCGCCGTTCTTCAAATGTCCACTTGGAACGTCTTGACGCGAAACATATGTTTTCTCATAAAAGAGCACCGCTCTTGAATAATCTCCGCCCTATTCACAGTTCGAGAACAACTACAGTAGACTTCAATCCTAGTATTCCTAGATAAACTTCAGAAATTTGTTCTAACTCCAGCTTTACAAAGTTTTAAATTGGTATATATTGGTATATTTCAATGCTCTTCCGTTCAATTCTAGATCTTTCTTCAAAACTTAGAAAATGCGCGGCTGACGCATGCAAACTAAATTTCGTGATGTGCCCATCTGCTGTTGGCCAGATAAAATGTCAAAGAAGGGGGAGGGATTGAGATTCTTGTTTGTCTTTTCAATATGACTTTGAAATAATTTGTTTATTTCAAAATAATACAAGTTTTAACATTTCGCACCAAAATTTCCAACAAAAAGCCAAGTAAACAAATTTTTGTAAAGTAAACAAGGCCACACATATATCTAATTATGAATTCGGGTCCTCGTTGATTGCTTTAATAATATGCATATATACGGATTGTGTGCTTAAAATAAAGTCTAAAGCCGTTGGAGTATAGTAGTACAGGCCAGCCTCTCGTGGACTGAGTAACGAACTCCGTAATTATCAAGAAGTCGATCTTCACTGGCAGAAAATTAATTGCTACATTTCAACAAATTACAATAAAGAAAGGAATTATTATTGGACATTATTAAAAGTAAGTCAGTTGTAATCTTCATTGTTCTTGATGAATTTAGAATTTCATTTTTAATGCGATATCTTTTGTTGAATTTCAAATATTGCACCTATTCGGACGCGTTGGGGGTGGCGCGCAACGAAATATAGTTAATGCCATAAGTTTAAATGTTAGAAATTTATTAAGTAAGATAACATTTTACACAATGAATTTTACACCCGCGCCTTATACTAGTGTCCAGTTAATTAAGAAATAAAGTATTACATATGTGTATACTGTTGTGAATGCAAATTAGGATTGTCAGAGCAAGCAACTTTCATCTCTGAGATCGCGCGTTTGGTTTCATGACACAAAACAGTCCGTCATCGCTCTATCGAAAGTCGTTTATTCTCTCCGGATATTTCTGTTTCCCCCCACAGGAAATATTGACAGGGTGGGTTGGGATTAGCCCTAACTGTCTCTTCCACCGTGACTGTGCTCAGTGATCATTGATCAAACATGAGTCATATAACGTGTCTCCCAGAGGCGCTCTTAAAAAGTCTTCGAGTTAATCAGGTTGAGCTGCGTCCTCCGCAATTCTTCTTACCTCACAACCGCAAGTATAATTAACAATTATTCGCCGAAGGCGAGGAGATTATCGGTGAATAAAAACCGAGACGAAGTCGAGGTTTTTATTCACGATAATCACCGAGCCTGAGGTGAATAATTGTTTTAGTATAATTTCATAGGTGATTATTTGGAAAAAAATTTAAATATGCACATTTCTTCGTCATTTAATTGACAAAACTGCTTCGACCGCCATTTTGAAAATCGCTTAGGTGATTATCGCGTAATAATCACCTCAACGGGCCGGCAACCAATCAGCGTGGAGAATTTTCAATAATCACCCATGTAATTATACAAATAATGATTAACATACACAAACTTTAGTTGTTGGGGATTTGAATAGTGAGCCATTGACAGTAGTATATCGCAATGAAACACAGACCACTAAACGGACACCACAGCCTAATGCTGACTTGCGTAACGCCATATGGTTTTACTTGTGAATGAGATAACCTCGGACGTGAATGGGTTAACCTGTATAGTTAGAATACGTGCATATCTATCGGATCCCGATTAACTGGTTCCGAAATAGTTACATTAGGGACTGGTCATAATTTATCAGGGGGGGGAGGGGAGGTGCAATTCAAAATTTTAAGGAATGATATTTTGTGACCCTGCTTTGCCATAACCCGGAAAAATAATGCCC